GGTTAGGGAAAGTTGACAGGGTGGGTTAGGGAAAGTTGACAGGGTAGGTTAGAGAAAGTTGACAGGGTAGGTTAGGGAAAGTTGACAGGGTGGGTTAGGGAAAGTTGACAGGGTAGGTTAGGGAAAGTTGACAGGGTGGGTCAGGGAAAGTTGACAGGGTGGGTCAGGGAAAGTTGACAGGGTGGGTTTGGATAAACACAATTAATTAAGAAAGTAATATCACAATTGTTGTTAAAGATAAAATAGTCTAAGCTAAGTGCGTAATTTGGTAAGAGGAATACTTGATGTAAAGTGCATTTGATCATAACCACGGATTGAATGACTGACACGCACTCTGGAGTGACTTAACACACAATGAATTTCCATACCTGTTTGTTACTTCAAGTAGCTCAGTTACAATTTTACTAAAGCTTCCTGACAGCGCAAAGCTATCTGGTTCGTCAGTTCCAAATTTATTTTTTGCATTTTCCAGCGCAGCTTCGGCTAACGACGAAAATGCCTACACAGCAAAGGGAGACAAATTTGACACATATTGCTGAAGACTATATTTTAGCGTGATCTGCACACGTAAAAATCTCACAAATTGTCAACAAGATGTGTTCGCAACGGGCTTGTGGCAAGCTTGTCAACAAGTTGTAACAATGCTGTTATTTTATCAAGTTGCTAGAAGGTTGTTACTCACAACTTGTTGACAAATTGTTGAATTGCAGGACGATAACAAGTTATTGGAACAACTTGTCAACAAGATTTTTTTTCTGTGTTGGTGTCATCCTAATGATAAGTTGTTGGAACAGCATTGCCACAATTAAAGTGAAAATTTAATTTAAGTGTGAATTTTAAAATGAACGACTTTCTTCTTGGAAATTTGTTGCTTTTTATATTTTCAGAAACTGTAGCGTGTGAACTTACCCAACAACTGTTAGCTGCGACTCGTGGCTCTGCGGCAAGACACATCATCATTTGTTCAAGCAAACGATCTAAGTAAAGAGGATTGATCGCCTCATCCGGCAGTAGTTCACAGACTCTGCCTACAGTCCACGCGGCAGAATCACGAACGATCGTACTAGGGTCTCTCATCATATTAATGATCAGAGGCATTGCCTGCAAGTACAGAGGAGAGAATATAAGGATGTACTTCATTGTAGACACCAAACCACAGCAACTTAAGGTTACCTCACATGATGAACGTGCGTTTTAGTCTATTGAACATGGCGCAACGAATTTTAGGTGTAACTTTACCAAATTTTCAGTGAAGAAAGCCAATAAAATGCCGATTTCGAAAATCTTCATTTGATGAGTGTTCTGTTTAAACATCTCCAGTATTGGCTGACTAAACAAATACATAGGTATCCCATAAAAAATCAAAATATGTTTATAGTTTACTTCAACGTTTGTCTACATATATCGATTTGAATCTTCATAGGTACGGTAAAAGAAGCGTGTGCGGAAAATTTCTCTTCTTCAATGGTTTTTCTGATATGACGTTTTCTTTGACAACTTCGTGAATTATCAGTGACAAATCCAAGAATCAGGACATATCAGAAAAACCACTAAAGAGGAGAAATTTTCCGCACACGTTTTTTTTACCATGCCTATGAAGATTCGAATTGCGATATCTAGACAAACGTTGAGGTAAACTATAAACATATTTTGAATTTTTTATGAAGGTACCTACATATTTACTCAGTCAGCCAATACTGAAAATGTTTAAACAGAACAGCCATCAAATGAAAATTTTCCTGGCTTTCTTCACTGAAAATTTGGTAAAGTTACACGTAAAATTCGTTGCGCAATGTCCAATAGACTAAAACGCACGTTCATCCTGTGAAGTAACCTTAAAGGCCATGTTACACGACGCAATTTTTGCTGCAAGTTTAATAACGGAATTCTGGCGTTTGAAAAACAAGTTCTGGCATTTGAAAAGGAAGTTCTGGCATTTGAAAAGGAAGTTCTGGCATTTGAAAAAGGAGTTCTGGCATTTGAAAAGGAAGTTCTGGCATTTGAAAAGGAAGTTCTGGCATTTGAAAAGGAAGTTCTGGCATTTGAAAAGGAAGTTCTGGCATTTGAAAAAGGAGTTCTGGCATTTGAAAAGGAAGTTCTGGCATTTGAAAAGGAAGTTCTGGCATTTGAAAAGGGAGTTCTGGCATTTGAAAAGGGAGTTCTGGCATTTGAAAAGGGAGTTCTGGCATTTGAAAACGGAGTTCTGGCATTTGGAAACGGAGTTCTGGCATTTGAAAACCAAGTTCTGGCATTTGAAAAGGGAGTTCTGGCATTTGAAAAGGAAGTTCTGGCATTTGAAAAGGGAGTTCTGGCATTTGAAAAGGGAGTTCTGGCATTTGAAAAGGGAGTTCTGGCATTTGAAAAGGGAGTTCTGGCATTTGAAAAGGGAGTTCTGGCATTTGAAAAGGGAGTTCTGGCATTTGAAAAGGGAGTTCTGGCATTTGAAAATGGAGTTCTGGCATTTGAAAACCAAGTTCTGGCATTTGAAAACCAAGTTCTGGCATTTGAAAAGAGAGTTCTGGCATTTGAAAAGAGAGTTCTGGCATTTGAAAGGGAGTTCTGGCATTTGAAAAGGGAGTTCTGGCGTTTGAACAGGGAGTTCTGGCATTTGAAAAGGGAGTTCTGGCATTTGAAAAGGGAGTTCTGGCATTTGAAAGGGAGTTCTGGCATTTGAAAATGGAGTTCTGGCATTTGAAAAGGGAGTTCTGGCATTTGAAAGGGAGTTCTGGCATTTGAAAAGGGAGTTCTGGCGTTTGAAAAGGGACTTCTGGCATTTGAAAAGGGACTTCTGGCATTTGAAAAGGGACTTCTGGCATTTGAAAAGGGATTCTGGCATTTGAAAAGGGAGTTCTGGCATTTGAAAAGGGAGTTCTGGCATTTGAAAAGGGAGTTCTGGCATTTGAAAAAGGAGTTCTGGCATTTGAAAAGGGAGTTCTGGCATTTGAAAAGGGAGTTCTGGCATTTGAAAAGGGAGTTCTGGCATTTGAAAGGGAGTTCTGGCATTTGAAAAGGGAGTTCTGGCGTTTGAAAAGGGAGTTCTGGCATTTGAAAAGGGAGTTCTGGCATTTGAAAAGGGACTCTGGCATTTGAAAGGGAGTTCTGGCATTTGAAAAGGGAGTTCTGGCATTTGAAAAGGGAGTTCTGGCATTTGAAATGGAGTTCTGGCATTTGAAAAGGGAGTTCTGGCGTTTGAAAAGGGAGTTCTGGCATTTGAAAAGGGACTTCTGGCATTTGAAAAGGGACTTCTGGCATTTGAAAAGGGACTTCTGGCATTTGAAAAGGGAGGTCTGGCATTTGAAAAGGGAGTTCTGGCATTTGAAAATGGAGTTCTGGCATTTGAAAACCAAGTTCTGGCATTTGAAAAAGGAGTTCTGGCATTTGAAAAGGGAGTTCTGGCATTTGAAAGGGAGTTCTGGCATTTGAAAAGGGAGTTCTGGCAGTTTGAAAAGGGAGTTCTGGCATTTGAAAAGGGAGTTCTGGCGTTTGAAAAGGGACTTCTGGCATTTGAAAAGGGACTTCTGGCATTTGAAAAGGGACTTCTGGCATTTGAAAAGGGACTTCTGGCATTTGAAAAGGGAGTTCTGGCATTTGAAAATGGAGTTCTGGCATTTGAAAACCAAGTTCTGGCATTTGAAAAAGGAGTTCTGGCATTTGAAAAGGGAGTTCTGGCATTTGAAAGGGAGTTCTGGCATTTGAAAAGGGAGTTCTGGCATTTGAAAAGGGAGTTCTGGCATTTGAAAAGGGAGTTCTGGCATTTGAAAAGGGAGTTCTGGCATTTGAAAAGGGAGTTCTGGCATTTGAAAAGGGAGTTCTGGCATTTGAAAAGGGAGTTCTGGCATTTGAAAAGGGAGGTCTGGCATTTGAAAAGGGAGTTCTGGCATTTGAAAATGGAGTTCTGGCATTTGAAAACCAAGTTCTGGCATTTGAAAACCAAGTTCTGGCATTTGAAAAGAGAGTTCTGGCATTTGAAAAGAGAGTTCTGGCATTTGAAAGGGAGTTCTGGCATTTGAAAAGGGAGTTCTGGCGTTTGAACAGGGAGTTCTGGCATTTGAAAAGGGAGTTCTGGCATTTGAAAAGGGAGTTCTGGCATTTGAAAGGGAGTTCTGGCATTTGAAAAGGGAGTTCTGGCATTTGAAAAGGGAGTTCTGGCATTTGAAAAGGGAGGTCTGGCATTTGAAAAGGGAGTTCTGGCATTTGAAAATGGAGTTCTGGCATTTGAAAACCAAGATCTGGCATTTGAAAAGGGAGTTCTGGCATTTGAAAAGGGAGTTCTGGCATTTGAAAGGGAGTTCTGGCATTTGAAAAGGGAGTTCTGGCATTTGAAAACCAACTCGATTATGGTTTTCAACCCCTTGGTCTTGAAAAGGTCATATGATACCAAAGTAAATATGCATATAGCAAGAGATCCGCGTACCAGACTTCTTACGCGAGTTATCGCACCCTGTAGAAGTCATGCTTTTTTCATTGACATAATTTGAAAATTTTTTGCAGCTTGGATATTGTTCACTTGAATGAAAGTCAGTTGGTCACAGAAGCGTCCGATGAGGAGCTTGATCTTTACGAAGATGACGATGATTCAAATGGTATGGTAATGGTTGATCCTTTATTTATATACTGCCCGCCTAGATTAGCTTTTGCTATTTGCAGGCAGTAATTTATTTGCGTAAAATTTGTAATTTGAAATAATAATAAATGTGTGTAAATGTATGTATGTGTCAGTCTGTCCTTACCATCAATACCAGGGTTTGTACAAAACTTGAAAGTTCTTTAATGTCCTTGAATTTGAAAAGAAAAATTCAAGGCCTTGAATGTCCTGGAATTTGTAAAGAAGTACTTGAAAGTCCTTAAATTTTTCTTGCTTTAGTTTTTGGATATTTTCTGAGATTGTTTGGCATTCAAAACGGACATTTTGTTGAATTGATTTTGCATGTTCATATCTGACAAAGCCGTTTGAAACTCATTGAACAAATGTTACTGATTTCTAACCCCTTTTCTTCAGTATTTAGTCTTTGAATTTGCTGATACATGGTCTTGAATGTCCTTGAAAAGTCCTTGAATTTGACTCTTCCTCACATGTGCGAACCCTGTCAATACTCTCACCCGAGCACATGTGGTCTCGTGTTCACCACGCTTGCCTTTCATGCAAGCTGGGAGACCCGGGTTCAATCCTTATAGTCGGACCTCTACTTCAAGGTCTTAAAATAATTGAGGAGAAAGAGCTACCTTTACATTGACATCAGTAAATGCGTCTTCATTGATAAGGACGTTAACTCGTAGGTATACGTCGGAACCCTTTAACAACTGGGCAATAGCCTGTAAACTCAATAAACTGAACAATAAACTATGTAATATACCGCGTCAGTTAAAAAACAGCACTGTAGAATGGGAATTTTTGAAAACACTTTCGAAGGCCATGATTGTGAATGTTCCTCTATAGATGAGAGCAACTGGCGAAACGATTATCCCGATGAGGACGAGTGGAATGGAAGTTCTGATGAGGAACCACGATATAGTAATGAACACTTTGATTATGGTAAGTTACATTTAATCCCCTTGTGTAGTGATTGTACATTCAGTAGTGCGGTAATAAATTTGTATTGGAAAGGTTATACTATACCAAGTTACGGTTGTGTGTGCTACTCCTACATTGATTTGTGACGAGAGAAAATCCCGTTTTGAGAAAATATTTTCAAACATGTGTTTTAAGGATACGGTGGAACGAAAATGTTTTCTAAGGAATTATCAAGTGACGAAGAACTGGATTACTATGGGTAAGATAATTGTTCAACCCGGGCCTGGAAATAGATGGTTTCTTCCTGTGACAATAATCGAACAAAACAATTCTGCCAATATTAATTAATGGGCTGCGGGGGGATCGAAGAATATTAACGGTTATAAAGTCTTATAAGCATTTGGGGCGTCTGTCTCAACACATCGTATATACAAACTTCATGTTATTGTCTCTTAACAATAGTGCTTGAATTTTCTAATATTTTCTATTTCAACACAACGTAGGAGAAATGAGGGTGAATATAATTACGAGATCGTCGATGAGGAGCACTATTAACATCGCTCGAAACTGGAACGTAAATCTCGCTTTCATGGAAATGTTGTAATGGTTAGAACCGCATCCAATCATGGTTCTCGTGGTATCAGATAAGTCATGATTGTAACTTGTGTTCAAATCATAGCATAGTTCCAGGCCATCCCCGTCGCAATCTCGTGCCCACCTAACCTGCGAACGGGCATACCACTCTAGGTACGAGAATGGCCAAACCGCGTGAATATTTCTGCATTTCGCTTCTCTCCAGACTTCTCGATAACGACCGCACTAAGACGGCAAACATTGCAAAAGCAAGAATGTAGATCGTAACTTGGACGTTCTAGTCGGTTATTCTTGGAAATATAACGTTTGGTGAAACTCTGTAACGTAGTATATTAGTATATGTTCCACTGTCATTATTCCAGGATCTATTTCAAAGGCCGGACATATGAACTGCAAAACATACTTAAAATTGAAGCGCATAATTATACTGTAGTTTAGTCTTTAGTGCGAGTATTATTTAAGAAAAATAGAAAAAAATTTTCGTTTCTCCCAAACCTTTCTCCCATGCAATTTCTCGTTTCTCCCAAACTTCCACAAGTGTTTCTATAGACTCTATAGGAACACGGAAAAAATCTTTTCTATTTCCCTTATTAAATAGCCTTTTGAAAACAATAAACTGAAAGATAAATTGATTGATTTTAGTTGCATTCATTCAAATATTATTAATATACGATCGTGTAAAGAAAAAGCATAGCCAAGTAAACAAGTATATCGCTGTCAAAACAACAGACAGCATTTTAATAACAGACTTAACTATACTAAAGTATAAAATTCACTCAACAACGTACATGCATGCAAAGAAAGCACTGTTTTAAATAGTTAGTAAACGTTTAAACATGATTAAAAACGATTAAAAACGATAGTAAACATTGATAAAAAACGTCGCCAGGAAATGTTTTTTAAAAAGACAAAGGTCAAAGTAAAATTACTGTAAAATATCAAAATTTAGTCTATATGTAGCTGAAATTGCCATTATGTATGTATTATGTAAAAGTCATTCACTCGTGTAGATCATTCTACGGGTAAAAGACCTACCTAAAATGAAAACAAATCACCTTTCAGAAACAAAAACGATCATTGTGACTCGTTCTTTAGAAAGACGATTTCTATAGTAACCAGGCATGTGAGTTATCATCCAAACATATATATCGCGAGTTCGCTTATAATTCTCAGAACGCTAAATTTGTAATTTGATATATATGAGTATAGAATACATTGAATATCTCGTGAGGGTGCAGAGCGAAATTAGTTTAGAATACTTTATAAAGCCTTGTACATAATAAATCCGCAACAAAACTTTTTCCAATTTCTATGCTTAACAAGCTGATCAAGATGAGGCTTTTCCAGCAGATATATTTCTTCGTAGAATGACCGAATATTACACATGCCAAAAATCACATTGGGTTAATGGACTTTAAAGAATTAAGCCTCTTTCCTGAGAAATGGAATACGCAGTATCAGCTCTTTGTTCAAGTTCCTGTGACGTTCCAACCACGCACGAACACCACCCACACGCAGGTTAAACAATCATGAGCACTTAATGCGCTGACTCGGATGTGATATTACTTATAATTCATCATTCTCCTATTTACATGCTTAGCTCCATGAAATTAGGCATGAAAAACCTTCCCCTTAAATATTGAAAAGGAAACCATAGAACTGTTTATGTTATAGACCGCGAGCTGTCCCTCGTTTATATTATGACTTCCATTAATCTTGTGTGGACTTAGTATTGCACCAGGTTCAAAAAGCTTACGTTGTAGAAATTTTAAAAAAATAATAATTTACCGTTAAGCCTGGTTTCCATATACTTCGTAAAAATAGAGTCACGGCCAGTTTATAATAGTTTATACCTGTAAACCATATATAAATATAAGTATTCTCTAGTTATAATTACTCCGTGTATTTTCAGTTCTAAAATGTTGTATTTCGGCTGATGAGAAAGATCGTGACTCAATCTTTACGACCGTTACGACCATATGGAAACCATGTTTCAGTGTAAACATTGGAAATCAAATCCCAAATTATGCTGACGACGTTAGAATGCATGGCCTCACCCAATCTCAATTGAATAGGAATTATTCAAGTTGAAGTGATGAAATTAGCCAGGAATAACTTTGAAACTGAAGTATGTAATTTTAGTAACAATAGAAAGGAATTTAAACTGAAGAACGACTTTAAAAAAGCCATTGCTCCTTATATTTGATATAATCATGTCCTCAGACCTGTGTGACCTCAGTGCTGGATCTTACGTAGTTTTGTGTATTGCATGTAACCTGTCATAAATTGGTCTTATCTTGGTTGATCTTTATTATTACTTTAGTCTAGTCTCGTACATGTCTTCCAAGCTATCAATATTTTACCCATGCAGCGCCTCTGTCTATTCCACGAACTGGAGAAGCAAATAATAACAAAATAACTTGTGGTGTTAAGAAGCACGTTCCTAATCCCCTGTTAATGGTTGAATCAACAGTTCAGTGACAAATATTGACCTGTTTTAAAGTGTTTTTGACGTTCTTTTGGCACTCAACACAACGAAGCATAGCATGCATATATTAAAACCCACAAACGTAATTATGAAACACATAATACCCCTTTAACCTTACGTCTTTACATGCCTCAAGTTACTGGCGAAACGATATTGTTCACAAAGTTTGATGTTTGAAAAAATATGAATATTAGATGATTTCAGTTGTCGTTTTAACATCAATGAAGCATAGCAAAACCCGCATTAATTATGAAAAAAAACAACACAATACCCTGTGTCATTGCACTTCAAATTACTCCCAAACAAATCCGAAGACCGAATCCCACATTGTGGAGATGTGGAGAAACGTCCGTGTGCCGAAATATTTCGCGACCTCAGCTTATACGGGAAGGTTAAATAATATTGTGCGTCGTTTGTGTTGTTATTATGACGAAACGTGCTTGAGCTCATTTCAATATTTTTCACGTGAGGGGGTAGTAGGTTGGTTCCGGCTCAACTCCCATTATTGGTATCTGATTTCGAACACACAAGGAAGACCGTCTAGGTTATCAAACAATCGCAAGAAAATAGTTAAAGTACCAGTCCTCCTCGTGCTGCACTACCAGTTGATAAATAAAAATACAAGTTCAACTACGTTCTATAAGGACTTTGTTTCTGGCATCGAAGCCAACGTACGAATGCCTAGAGCCTGGTTACACCGTAAATCTCGTCGTCCTACGACGATGCCGATAGATTTAACTATTATCCGTAGCAATAACCCGGCCAACGAACATCCTAAATTCAGCCCGGGCGACAGCTCTCGTGTCGCAGCACACCGCAAACGACGTCTGGTTTCACAAAATGGCCGTATTAAAGTTGCGAATACAAACGTCCCCGGCAAACATGAACGGTATTTCGGCGACTTGTTTACAACGATTCTGGATATGCCTTTCCACTGGATTCTTGGTATATACTCGCTGGCGTACCTGGCTAGCTGGTCGGGGTTTGGCACTGTTTGGTTTTTAATACATTATCTACGCGAAATGCATGGCTATGAAGATTTTTATTGTGTTGAAAATGTTGACAGTTGGACAACGGCATTTTTGTTCTCAATTGAGACACAAACGACAATCGGCTACGGCGGTAGACAGGTAGGTTCGTTTAAAAATATTTGTTCAAATTATAATTCACATTGAACAGTTGGTGGGTTAATTATTGTGTGGTGCGGGTAATATTGTGAAATATTCCAGTTCACCGCCGGTGAATATTCGCTATATTGTTAGATATAATATTGCGTTTGATTAAGAAATTTCGCTTTTGTATTGAGATGTTTTATTTAGTCAGAAATAACAAAGAGTCGTTTTAGTTCAAAACTAAATCACTCCCGTCGTCATAACACCACAGGTACAGGCAGTGAAAGTTTTCCAAGCCGCCTTGAATATAGTTATACGTTTGAGCTTATAAAGGTTATTAAAAACCATCATTAAGGCAAGATATTATAATATTACATGTTTTATTTGTATGCCCATGCACTTCATTTTGTCATAGTTACTGTAGTGTAGAGTTATTGCGTTTATGCCACGTGTGCTGAAAATATTAACGAGAATTTCTATATGACCTGCACTAATAATGTTCAATTATAACAAGTTTACTTACAGCTTAATTAAATTCGCATTCATTTTCTAGCAAGGCCAAGGGTTAAACCGCGCTACTAACACATTGCATCCCTCGATCAAACTCGTGAATATCGCCACCCGCACTTCAAGCCAACATTCAATATATTTATATATAAAACAAGTCACAATACTTGTGCCTTTGGGGATTTTGTATTGGGAAAGTCTTGTGAACTTTAAACCGAATTTTCACGCGGCGTTTTGTTTTTATTATAACCTATATGTATTTGTAATTATTTCTCACCTGACGTAAAGCGTGCATTTATCTTGACTGTCATCTAAATTGTTAATAAAGATAAGCTGTAAAATATTGTATCGATATATTCACTCAACCCCCCAAAGCACATCCATCAAGGGCATATATAATGGTGAAGGTTTTTGTATAGATACATTTTATAAAACAAATTACGGTTGCCATTGAGTAATTTTAAAAAGAACAAAAACTATTTGAATAGTCAATAGACACTCCGAAAATAGTTAACATTTTATTCAACGTTTCGACTAGGTTTGAATCCCTTGAATAAAACGTCGAAACGTTGAATAAAATGTTAACTATTTTCGGAGTGTCTATTTTGTTCTTTATAAAACAACCTTCAGTATTCGGTTAACAACCTTCTTCAGCATTGAGTTCTATCGAGTGAGATACCCTAAATACTGATGTTTATACCCATACCCCTCGCGTTGGCATCATCGTAATATGAACGTGCGGGTTAAAGCTGCCAAGTGCTTATAGTTGCATATTTCGCAACTTGCGCCGGGTTATAGGTCTATATAAAATGTACAAAATTTACACTCGATATTTTCATCTACAAAAACGTTTCAACATTTAGTCCTATCGCGGAGTAAGTTGCCCAAAACGCCTGATATATAGCATGCAATGTTTACATTTGCTGGCCGATCTTGTATACACTCACTGTCGTCGACATATCTCTGCTATCAGTCAAAGTCCGTTTACAACATTGCGCGATTTAATGCGAACGAGCATATAGGTGAGTTATGAATGTTCTGAGTGTATGTTATACTCTCTCATCTGAATATTCGTAACTCGGGTGTAAACGGACATAATTCTTAAGGCTCTATTCAAGTGTATGTTTCACAAACGAACGTACACTAAGAGTTGGGGATTGGGTTGCGTTTGGGGTCAATATAAAAAAAATACATTCGTGCGGGGTACGGATGAATTCAACCATGATTCCGCCTTGCTTTCATGCGAAATGTATATGCATCACGAAATTCATATTTGAGATTATATCGTTAGGTTACAAGGCCGGTACGGTTAAATCCAGGGTCGCCTTGGTCAGGTGTGCCTCAACAGTGAATCCACTAGACCTTATGTTGATTAACTGCTGTCGCACTATGTAGTAAACTAAGACACTAACTGTGGTTTAATAAATGTGGTTTTTAACCCACCAAACATAATAGCGCTCAATTTAACACTTTGACAATGTATAATTAAACAGTTAAACTGTTAAAGCAAGTTATCTCCTGTTTTCTTGTCTGTAACCCATACACGCGGCATCGTCATGCAACCAAATGAAAATTTTAGCTGTTTGTACTTGTAGCCAAATTATCAAATCGCATGTCGTCTGTCGATACTTGTCACTTTCATTGTATTGCAGCTGGGATGCGAACGATAACAAGACGTCCTACTGTCTTGTCGTAGATTTTCAGAAACCTTGCACACACACACACACACACACACACTGATAATGCTCAGTAAACTACAGTTCCAGCGCGTCACTTTTATAGACTACGCGTACGACGATAGCCCGGACTGAGTGCGCGAGAGTTAGCAGTCACGCGATCTTGATTCTTGGTTAGCTGTTCTTAAATCTTAATGCTTTCCCAGCACTATATCATGTATTCGATTTAAATTAAAACATATTTGGAAAAACACACATCGTACTTTTATTTTGTTAATCTAGAGCTACAAATGAATCTCCCCCCGTAACAATGCGTGACATTGAGTACGATATTGCCAATCACGCTATTATATTGCGTGCTAACGACGTTGACGGAAAAATCCAATTCAACCTATGGAGTTACTGTACAGCCGGCGATTCTTTAACCTTTAATCTTAGCCGGACGAGTAATGAAGTATATAGCAAGAATATATTAATGCCGACATCCTAACGAAGGCCCTTTTGCATGAGGGTGGGAAAGGGTATTTTCGTGAGCCGTGAATGGTCAATATTTGTTCGCGTGAAATGTGAAATGCTTGATTTTAGTGTCGTGAAATGTGATTTGTTCTACAACCGTGAGGTGTGATTGTCGATAAAAATGCTCCGTGAAATGAGAATTAAAGTGTCTGATTCGTGAACTGTGATTTTGCTTTGTTTATTTCGATCTATTTTATAATAGTCATAATAAACATGATACGCGATAATCCATTTATATGATCGATCTCACTCGACCGCACAAGAGTAAAAACTTCGGAGACCTTTCGGAGGTCGTCGGACATACTCGTCACTCAAACTTGTGAGTCATGATGTAGTTTTAACTGACAGGTAGAGAAGTGAGAGAACTTAAAGCGTAGATACTGTACCATGCATTAAACATACTCTTAATAAACCTATTATATTATTTTATTAGAATCTAGTTTTCCATGAAATTGTTTTTTTAAGACACGTGAATCGTGAAACGGCTTTTTTTTTCGTTGTGAAACGTGATCCATACCCCCCCTTTCCCACCCTCTTGCATTGAAATGCATGAGATCAGTGCTTTTCCTCCAAATCGGTTGATTTCCAGTCATGCATGTTTGTCATTTGCATTTACCGAGGTCTACCTACCGCTAAGCTCAGAAACAAAGGTGTATACCGATCGTGTCAGACTAAAAGCAAAAAGAAATGGAATCACCGCTGAAAACAAGTCAAAACAATGAGTGCGGCGATTTCTAATGAAAAGACGCCGAAACTTCCGATTACTGGATCGTGACTGGATAACACTTTGTCACGTTCGTCGCTGTTCAAGTGTTTGATTTGGTCGTGTCAGCACAATCACGTGACATTATTTATAGCAGATCTGCTCATGCCTGGGTTTACACGACAAACGTTTCTTTCATTAAAGCGTGGTTGAAGTGAAACCTACTAACTATAAAAACACTATAAATTTAAATGCTATATTTTGAGTCTATTACAGAGGCTTCGTGGGGCAAGTTGGGGCAAGCATATTGGGTTGGCATGTGGCGTGGGGGAATTAACTCTTACCTACACTACGGAGAGGAGTGGGTGGATTCGAACTATATTTGTCGTTGAGCTTTAAAACATCTTGCTATCGTTACGTCGCCAAAACGTCTTAAGCCCCTCAAGGTTGCTAAGAAATTAACAAAATTATTTGAAGTGATGTCAATTGTGGTTAGGCCTGCAGGGAATATTAAATTTTCAGTGCACGTCAATAGACTGTCGTGGTGATAGATTCTACAATTAGGTCTGAAAACTTATTGCATCATTGCTAAAGTGAGCCGGAATGATAAACTACGACATAGTTTGTTAGCGTCATTCTGTGAGTGTCCGCCTATGACTGCTGCTCGTGTGATACAGACTACAGAATGATAGCTGGCTGCATGCGAATAGCACGGAGAACATTTTCAAAACAATGAAAAGTCAATGCCATCATAAAAATAGTAATTTTTCAGTGACTTTAATATACAGTAATTAAAAAGGCGATTTGCTCATTTGCATGCAGAGAACGTGCATTGTCTAATGCTATAATTGAAATAATCACTATCGATTATAATTATCAATAATTATCAAATGACGATTGTTATTCATCATTCAATCTGTGTGTGGCCATGGTTCATGGGACAAATCATTCCTGATATTCACTCATTGTTTGTCTCCCCTACTACGCGCGCAAGTTCGTCTGGGTACACGAATTACGCAAATCAAGATATTTCGAGACCTTCCGTTTCATATTCAAAGACAGTCCAAACGTCAAGGCATACTCTGGGCGTCATTTGAAATTAAGCATACACACACACAAATTTAATAATTTTTGTAGATGGAAATTCTCGAGTGTAAATTTGATACGTTTTTGGACCCGACTAGAGCGGTTCCTGGTAGTTTAAACTCGATATTTCAATGAACAAAAACCACAGGGGCAACCTCACCAGGAGAAGGGCTTATAATTGTATTTTTGGCAGTAAGGTAAAAAAAAAACGTATAAAGTTCACACTCGAGATTTCCATCAACAAAAATCTTCAATATTTAGTCGAAATTCTGAAATCCTCAAAATCCAAAATTAATAAACCAGCTATCTTTGCTCCAGTATACAAATCAGTCCATTTTCTAATTAATGTAATTTCATACCATAGTGATGTTCAATAACCAATACCAGCCCACAATTTCAAACGAGACGAGAATGAGACTGATGATATTTTGGAATAAAATCGTTCTCATATCTTGTTTTGACCCGTATATCCTGAATTTCAAGACGCTATTCTTCGGATTGTTAACCGAATATTGTTACTAATCCAATAGTCTTTCATTTTATTTCTTAGGTAACACCGAACTGTCCAGAAGGAGTAGTCCTGCTTTTAATTCAGACTTTAGTTGGCTCTTTTATCGCTGCAACTTTACTGGGGATCGTATTTGCCAAAGCATCGAGGCCTAAAAAGCGTTCACGAACTGTACTGTTCTCGGAAAAGGCCGTCATCGGAAAACGGGACGACCGTTTTTGCTTAATGTTCCGAGTCGGGGACCTCAGAGCTTCTCAATTACTAGAATGTCATATACAAGCGGAAATGTTTTATACGAGAGAAACCAATGAGGGAGAGCTGCCGTATTTCCATGAACGATTAAGTATTGGCAATGGAATCTCAGAAGGCGAAGAGATATATTATACATTTATGATAATTCCCAACACCATAGCACACATCATAGACAAAAATAGTCCACTCTATGGAATGAGCAGTCTGGATATGTTGAAAGCAAATGTGGAAATAGTCGTAGTTTTAGAAGGAGTTATTGAAAGCACCGGTATGACTATGCAAGCGAGAACATCGTACACAGCACACGAGCTCGTATGGGGTTGTAATTTTACTCCATTACCACGCCATGATGACCTAGTTCCCAAAGGCCAGCTAATGGTGGATTTTTGTCATTTTAATAAACTGCAACCGGTTAGGAACATGCCTGTTTGTTCCGCAAGAGATTACGAGCGGTTACGAAGGGAAACACAGAGTGTTAGCCGTGGGGTAGGAGACGTCAATGATCCTAGTGGTACAATTGGGGTGAATAAGGAACATGACACTACACTTGGGGTAAATAATAGACATGACAGTACAGTTGGGGTGAATAAGAAACACACTGATACACAGGACAAGAAAGGTGTGTCCTCAAATTCCAGTGATGAATGCGAGGTTATTCAAAATGGACTGGTGGCTAAATCATTACCGGAAACGAACAGCAGGGTATTGGACACTACTCCGGAGGAAACTGAAGACGAGGTAGCCTGCGAACAGGCTCTCTAGCGAGGCTAAGAGCCTATGTCTAAAGAGGGAAACCTGCACTTCACAGCTGCTAACAGGATGAAGACGAAATGGGGGGTGATGGGGGCATGCCACTTATAATTGACAATCTTGGAGAAAACGAGGCCATTTGCTACTTTTACAAAACCATATAACCCGGGTTCGTACAAAAACATGAAAGTCCTTGAATTTCCTGGAATTTGAAAACAAAAATTCAAGATCTTGAAATTCCTGGAATTTGAAAACAAAAATTGAAGGCCTTAAATGTCCTGGAATTTGAAAACAAAAATTCAAGACCTTGAATGTCCTTGAATTTGAGAACAAAAATTCAAGGCCTTGAATTTCCTGGAATTTGAAAACAAAAATTCGATTCAAGGCGTTGAATGTCCTTGAATTTGTAAAGAAATACTTGAAAGTCCTTGAATTCTTCTTGCTTTAGTTTTTGGATATTTTCTGAAATTGTTTGACATTCAAAACGGACATTTTGTTGATTTGATTTTGCATGATCATATCTGACAGAGCTGTTTGAAATTCACTAAACTTGCGTTTTGAACAATCCAACGTGACATTGTACTGATTTCTAATGCCTTTTCAGTGTTTAGTGCTTGAATTTGCATGATACAGTCCCCCCCTGGAAATACTAAAAATGGCGCACGTCCAGGGGGGGGGGTGACTGCTTCTGTTTACGGTACTTGCTGAGTGACGAATCATGACGAATAGCGCTTACGCAAAAAGCAATGGAGATGGACTTCTGTGTAGTATTCTGTGCCTACGAGGAATGTAAATTGATAAGATTACGTGAGGTGGACTCAACGGTTTTCTCCAAGATTGCATGGCAGTTAAAAACAACGAATGTTTTAAATCACTAAAGCAAATCTCTTGAGACCAGTGACGAAGCTAACCATACTAACAGGTCATGCTATGCAATTTTTTAATGATTTGCATTGTTCAAACCTCTAGAAATGTATTGTCTTTAATCTATTTAGATGTAAGTTTATTAGCATAGCATGACCAGTTGCCACGACTAGCTTCACCACTGCTTGAGACTTAAATGATTGAATTGCAATATTGAATTATTTACAACTCGAGAAATATATGAAACAATAATCACTACCTCTTTACAACATACCGTAACAAAACATGACACGAAATACCGTGACCGCAACTAAATACAGGGGTGTCCCAAAAAAAAGTGACACTATACAGGGTGTCCCAAAAAACCCGAAAACCATTGAAATCACTTATTGTTAAAATTGAATGCCCTACCAAAAAGCTGAACGTAATGATGTGTAAAATATTGACAAGGTGCATGTATTAAAATTTAATTAAGACATCTCCTTGTAAAGTGCGCAATTTTTTGCTCTTGGATATTTAAAGCAGCTTCTTAAATAGTTTCTTTATGCATAAAATTTACTTATGTCAATCATTTATGCACTCGTGGGAACCAACAGAGTGCTAAGGCATTCAAATTCTAACAATTAAATTGTTATTGGTGATTTCAATAGTTTTCGTTTTTTTTGGGACACCCTGTACAGGGTGTATCAAAAAAAGCGCAACCTCGGAATTTCCCAAGAAATCGACATTGTTTTAAAGACAAAAGATTTTAGGCGCCTGGGAATTTAAAATAGCATAACTGTCAAAATTACTGCACACGCGAGTGCATAAAGCAAAATTTATGCATTTATTTAATGCACAACAACAGTAATATGATCTATTAGCAATTTGATTTCAATTCCCAGGGGCCTAAAATCTTTTATGCTTAAGAATTGCAAAGTGATTTCTTAGGAAATTCCGAGGTTGCGGTTTTTTTGATACACCCTGTAGAAAGTATCCTATTGTTATGATTCGAATGCCTGAGCACTATGCTGAACACAAGAATTACCATGCGAATGAAATCCTGTGCTTAACAACAATAGGATATTTTCTATAGTGTCACTTAATTCTTGGGCCCCGGTTGGGGGTCACCCTGTACAGCGCAATATTTTTCAAGCACAAAGTACACAATACAACAGCTGTAAGACGCGTCAATTGAATACCAGTTTAATCGTATAACGTATTGTAAACTGACGAAATATTTATTAAAGCCTAGCTAATTTAAACATCCGCTAATAATTTCATGAACTATTGATTATTATACCGCGTAGCCTATTATTTGCTACTATATATATATATGCTTTCATTATTTATTTAATTTAAATAAACTAATAATAACCAATGAATTTAATCAAACAAACAAATAATAACCAAAGAATTTTTATATATTAGTAGAAATTGGGGGACAATGCATTTTGTATAATTTTCTATATAAGTAATTTGTTAGTTATATTAACTTTCCTAATATCAATTGTGTTGTATATCTTCAATAAAATGATCGTGAAAACTGGTTGATTTTGTAAACTGTGTTGTGTTTGAATGGCCACGTGATTTGACCTCGAGTTAGCCGCCATCTTGGGTCCAGTATGGATAATTACAGATTCAAACTCTTTGGACACGAGAATTAAGTCCACTGCTACTTTTAAAGAATAGCTCCAAACATCTTCATTATCATTTCAAATTGATATAAGTAATTGATTTGTATTTTATCTATTAGTTTGTTAAGTTATGTGGGCCAGTGATTTGTCAGTTTTTATTTACTCCATCATAAGCCCACACTCCTTATAAAGTGCATTGTATTGTACAGTAAAGAATATTAGTTATTTTTTAAAAAAGTCCATTTTTACCAGATTAATCCCTTAAAATCACTGTACCTAACTTAAGGCGGACAGCGTTCAAATTAAGCGAACATCTTAATTAACACATGTACATTTTAACCCTAAATATCAAGACATCCTTACCCTATTATATCCTAACTTGTACCATAAACACCCCCATCTATCGGCCTATTATCTCCATATGTTACGTTCTTTCAGAAAATGAGCCCCAATCTCCTTCGTTGTACAGTTCATCCGGGTCCTCCACGTTGTGCAACGTCATTGGACAACCTTCTGTCACGTGATCCATAACCTTCTGTTTCAGGTCACAAATTTGTTGCTTCAACGCATTTGCCAAAGTGCTAAGCTCGACGTTCCTCGCTCGTAAATCCTTTACTGTCGTTTCGAGAACCGCTTCTTTTTCGAGTTTTCTTTTCCGACATTTGGAAGAAGCGACTCTGTTTCGCTGTTTTTTCCTCTCCCGTTTCACCATTTCCTGCATTTCAAGGTCGATGGGTTGTAAGGACGAATTATCGCCAAAAATTGACGAACCGTCTAGTTTAAAAACTTGCGAGGGAAACGCGGAATTTGTTGCGAGAACGTTATTGTACGCCGTGAGCGCGCGCAATTGATTCACCGCTTCGTGATCCTCCGTAGGGTGCCGTAACGGAGTCGTGTAGAGTTGCGCGGTTGTATTAGGTAACAAATTGTTATTTGGGTAACTCGGTAATACATAAGTCTGGTTTAATTGTTTTTCTGTATTATTTTCTGTTGGAATCCCGCAATAGGAGTTCTGTACGTTAGGAAATTTATCTCGCGTACTTGCAACTGTGATTACTCCATTGGCGTCCGTCGTTAAATATAATTGATCAGTTCCGCCAACCGTTTCATCGACATAACCACCCGTGTTCATCTGAGGTATAATAGTTTTAAGTTCATTGCTTTCCTGCCGATCATGTAGTTCTTGTAAGACCTCGGGTAGGCCTTTTGTAACATTGAGTTGTTCGTTCGAAATTACGGTTGTATTATTACTAACATGTGTTGTGGATGGGCTATCGTTATTCCCCGATTGAAAAGCCAATAACATTTTCTCAAGATCGGGCGAGGCCAGTTTTAATATTCCAAAATCGGGAGAATGTATCTCTGTGGTAATATTGTTCCTTCGTATTTGCTCCATTCTCGGGTTATGATGTATATCTGTATGTAGGTTGAGATGGAAATTCCCTTTCTCGTATATAAGCGGCGAGTGAACTTGAGTCGACAACGGTTCTTCATGATAAAAATGAGCTTCGTGAATCTCCTCCATTTGTCCTGGTTCGCGGAACATACCGTAGATAAAAACCTCGACCTTCTCTCGCTGTTATTCCTTTATTATAAATCCATATTTTGTTTTTATCCAAAAATCTCATAAACCATAAATTCAACAAGCTTGATCTTGCGATGATTTTCACGCTTGTGATTAATTATAAACAATCTTAGTTCGCTTCAGTGAGCAAGATACTTCGCATCTGAGGTCATTCCCGTTTTGAGCCAATCCCGCCAATAAACTTTAAGGATTGGGCCATGCGATTGGTTCGATTTCTTGTCCCTGGTTAATTATTAATACGGGCAACATGATTTGCTCGATCAAGTGTGACCGTGAGCAGGTAAAGAATTTATCCTTCTAAGACTACATTCATAAAAGCCGGACGAATATACTGTTTCATGAGGATGTTAAGTGCGATTTTCTCTCCTCTTGGGACTGTTGTATGAAGGCGGAATAGGGTTATCAAACCGGACAGTGCTTTTTTGCAATCTTTACAAACTTGCTCGAATAGCTGTGAAACTACGGATACGAACTTCACAATAAGTACGAACAGCTTTAATTTAGAAACGCTGTTCATTAATCTGGGTTACGCTCCCTATTTTCGAAAGTTTGACTATATTACTTTCCTATGGACCGACCTTTGTACGCGACTGACCCCGGACAGTAGCGTAGCCAGCCCGACGATTTGGTCCCGCTATGCAAATTTCAACTCATCATTCATTTCTTTAGAAATTTATTGTGTTGATAGTTTATAAACATGGTAATATTTGCATAGCGGGACTGAATCGTCTGGCTGCCTACGCCACTGACCCCGGATATGGTATAATCTTGAACGATCTGTGTCAGTGTAGGTAGTGGCAATAATAAGAAAGCTTCGGATTGGTAGGGATACAACTACCTGAAAAATATAAGGAGAACTTCGACGTTTCGAGCGAAGGCCCTTCATCGGTTAGTTGGAAACGTCCAAGTTGTCCTTGTATTTTTCAGGTAGTTGCATCGCTATCAATCCGAAGCTTTCTGACCCCTGATGGGTGTGAACGAGTGCATGAGTTATGAATGTTCGGATGAGGGGACATATTCACATGCATCAGAAGAAAATTGACAAGTTCACATGCATCAGAAGAAAATTGACATGTTCACATGCATCAGAAGAAAATTGACATGTTCACATGCATCAGAAGAATAAATGTTCACATGCATCAGTAGAGGAAATGTTCACATGCATCAGAAGAAAATTGACAAGTTCACATGCATCAGAAGAAAATTGACATGTTCACATGCATCAGAAGAAAATTGACATGTTCACATGCATCAGAAGAAAATTGACATGTTCACATGCATCAGAAGAAGAAATGTTCACATGCATCAGAAGAAGAAATGTTCACATGCATCAGAAGAAGAAATGTTCACATGCATCAGAAGAAGAAATGTTCACATGCATCAGAAGAAGAAATGTTCACATGCATCAGAAGAAGAAATGTTCACATGCATCAGAAGAAGAAATGTTCACATGCATCAGAAGAAGAAATGTTCACATGCATCAGAAGAAGAAATGTTCATATGCATCAGAAGAAGAAATGTTCACATGCATCAGAAGAAGAAATGTTCACATGCATCAGAAGAAGAAATGTTCACATGCGTCAGTAGAAGAAATGTTCACATGCGTCAGTAGAAGAAATGTTCACATGCATCAGAAGAAGAAATGTTCACACGCATCAGAAGAAGAAATGTTCACATGCGTCAGTAGAAGAAATGTTCACATGCGTCAGTAGAAGAAATGTTCACATGCATCAGAAGAAGAAATGTTCACACGCATCAGAAGAAGAAATGTTCACATGCGTCAGTAGAAGAAATGTTCACATGCGTCAGTAGAAGAAATGTTCACATGCATCAGAAGAAGAAATGTTCACACGCATCAGAAGAAGAAATGTTCACATGCGTCAGAAGAAGAAATGTTCACATGCGTCAGAAGAAGAAATGTTCACACGCATCAGAAGAAGAAATGTTCATATGCATCAGAAGAAGAAATGTTCGCATGCATCAGAAGAAGAAATGTTCATATGCATCAGAAGAAGAGATGTTCATATGCATCAGAAGAAGAAATGTTCACATGCGTCAGAAGAAGAAATGTTCACATGCATCAGAAGAAGAAATGTTCACATGCATCAGAAGAAGAAATGCTCATATGCATCAGAAGAAGAAATGTTCACATGCATCAGAAGAAGAAATGTTCACATGCATCAGAAGAAGAAATGTTCACATGCATCAGAAGAAGAAATGTTCACATGCATCAGAAGAAGAAATGTTCACACGCATCAGAAGAAGAAATGTTCACATGCGTCAGTAGAAGAAATGTTCATATGCATCAGAAGAAGAAATGTTCACATGCATCAGAAGAAGAAATGTTCATATGCATCAGTAGAAGAAATGTTCACATGCATCAGAAGAAGAAATGTTCACATGCATCAGTAGAAGAAATGTTCATATGCATCAGTAGAAGAAATGTTCACATGCATCAGAAGAAGAAATGTTCACATGCATCAGAAGAAGAAATGTTCACATGCATCAGAAGAAGAAATGTTCACATGCGTCAGAAGAAGAAATGTTCACATGCGTCAGAAGAAGAAATGTTCACATGCGTCAGAAGAAGAGATGTTCACATACATCAGAAGAAGAAATGTTCACATGCGTCAGAAGAAGAGATGTTCACATACATCAGAAGAAGAAATGTTCACATGCATCAGAAGAAGAAATGTTCACATGCATCAGAAGAAGAAATGCTCACATGCATCAGAAGAAGAAATGTTCACATGCATCAGAAGAAGAAATGTTCACATGCATCAGAAGAAGAAATGTTCATATGCATCAGAAGAAGAAATGTTCATATGCATCAGAAGAAGAAATGTTCACATGCATCAGAAGAAGAAATGTTCACATGCGTCAGTAGAAGAAATGTTCACATGCGTCAGAAGAAGAAATGTTCATATGCATCAGAAGAAGAAATGTTCACATGCATCAGAAGAAGAAATGTTCATATGCATCAGAAGAAGAAATGTTCGCATGCATCAGAAGAAGAAATGTTCATATGCATCAGAAGAAGAAATGTTCATATGCATCAGAAGAAGAAATGTTCATATGCATCAGTAGAAGAAATGTTCATATGCATCAGAAGAAGAGATGTTCATATGCATCAGAAGAAGAAATGTTCACATGCGTCAGTAGAAGAAATGTTCATATGCATCAGTAGAAGAAATGTTCATATGCATCAGAAGAAGAAATGTTCATATGCATCAGTAGAAGAAATGTTCACATGCATCAGAAGAAGAAATGTTCACATGCATCAGAAGAAGAAATGTTCATATGCATCAGAAGAAGAAATGTTCATATGCATCAGAAGAAGAAATGTTCGCATGCATCAGAAGAAGAAATGTTCATATGCATCAGAAGAAGAGATGTTCACATGCATCAGAATAAGAAAATCATCATGCGTCAAGGACTTGTGAAAATTTGCTTACGGTTCCGTGTGAATCCGATCCCATGCGAACGAGGCCCGAGTTTCTAATCGTTTGGGGCAATGTTGCTAATAATTACAGCTATGGACAATATAGGTTATTCTACATAATTTTACTTCTCATCGAAATTCATTGCTTTAAGTTCATGAATACATATAAACTTTATTTTGAAAAGGTAAATTTCTACATTGTTCCTGGGAACAGTAATCTTCCCCATGGCCGATTGTAAGTAAATTATTTATTGTATTTAATTTGCGATAAAACAATACATTACACAAATATTGCATAGATACATAAACATAAGTGCAGCTAACTAGGTAGTTACAACGAATACATCCAAATTGTTCTAAACGGTCAACTTTATAATTCAGTATTCTAGTATTCAGACCATGTACATCACGAGAGAAAGTGAACACGGTGTGCACATGCATTTCAGAAAGTTTGAGGCAGTTGAATAATAAACACAGGCAGTTGAACAACAGGCCTAATCCATTGGTAGTTTTAGATTATAGCTTTTCCCCAGGTTTTCCTGCATTTCCATTAGTTTCTCCATCTACTCTTCTTGAACTTAAATGTTGGAATAAACAATTCAAATCTCCTGTAATTATTAGCAGTCAATAGAAACGTCACTGTTCTAGGCAGTAGGGTCACGGATTCAGGATATTTGAGCGAGACTCGCGTATTCTGCGTCATTTTGAAAGCAATAATAAGTTTATACATGACATCTGCGCATGCGTTGACTGCTTCGTAGGTCTTAATCACACTCCTCCAATTCGCTTTGGCACCACGCCTTCGAACGCGAGATATGATCGTTAAACATGGCTGATCTAATATCTGCCTTCGCGGTTTAAGCTTGAAATTCTCTTGTGAGGCTGTTTTTAAGTAGAACGCATTCCTCCATAGTGTGTTGTTTCGTTGATCGGCATGACATGCGCATAGCTTAGGGTCGACACCTTCATCCGTGCATTTCTCGTATTTATTAAATTGGCTAATACGAACCAGGTTATTTAACGTTATACCGTTCACATTTTCTTTCATAGGGAACGACACTTCGAAGTCAAAAATTTCCACAGTTTTTGTATTGAAAGGCTTCACCAATAAACTGAAAATTAACTTTTGGTCTGAGCCGGCAATTAGTCGCCTCGCACGCGTAATTCCCGTACTTGTATATCGCTGACATGCGCCGTAACCATAGAAACCTGACGTAAGCGCTGCTCCTGGCTTCGACCTCAAAGCTGTGGTATACTGCTCTTGAATTCTGTTATTCAAAGTCCCCAAAGCAAATTCAGCTGCCCATTGGACTATCTCAGAATCGTTGGGCACAGTTGTATCCATACCCTCGCACAAACATAACACATCCCATCTTATGGTCATTTGCTCGCATGTTCGATCTAAGGGCACTGGTTTAAATAACCCACGCAGACGCGTTGGTATCACCCCTACATTAGGGTTTCTGTGATGTCGATTAGGATCTGCGTGAAGAACCCGGTTTTTTGGAGGGTCCTCTGTTTGAGTACCCCAAATATTTGGATCCGTGTCTAATATTGATACCAATGAATAATGTAGGTCTTCAAGTCCTACCAATCGATTCTGGTTCACCACCAAAGCATTCATAACTTCTGGACCAAGGAACTCGCTGATTTCGTGTGGAATGATTATGAATAATAAGGGTTGATTTATCTCTTCCCGACCTTGTGTTGTATAGGCTGCAAAATCGGTCGCTTTTCCTCCGTGGTCTGATATAAATATGGTCACAGTGTTGCGTAAATGTGCTGCATGATGGAACAAATCTGCTAGACTTTCATCGTCGTTGACTATGCGTCTTCCATTAGTATCGTGTGAGGTTATCAAATGTGTATAAGCTAAAAATGGCTGTGCTGCAATATCGTTAAGCTCTGTGTACTTTTTCACATACTCCAAAATAAAGGACCCATAATGTCGTCCTGCGAAGCACACGTTTGGGACAGTTCTAGAGCTAAACGGATTCGTCTTGTTATAGTTTTTATAAACATCGCATGATAATATTGACATACCGTAGTCATCAACTTCTTTCCAGCGTCCTGATTTTTCCAAAATTCCAACATAATCTTTCCATCTGCTCAGCCGTGCTTTTTCGTCTTTAACACGAGCTAATCTGTACCGTGGATCAAGAAATGAACTCCATTCATCGTACCAACAATGGTCTTCTTGAAGTAGGGTACTATATCCAGCCTTTTTATACCGACTGAACATTTCCTCAAACCCAAACGTACAAGTATATTCGGTATCATTCGGAAGAAATTTCTTGACAGAATTATCACAGTTCGTCTTGGACTTCCAGTATTTTTGAGCTGTAAACAGTCTCTGAAGGCTATTATATGTGTTCGGCACATAGCTTTGGACTTTCTCAAATTCCAGCAAAGTTGATGGTATTGATTGGTTATAAATAATATCTCTAAAAGTTGATGCAGTTTTTAAAAGAGTTCTGTAAAAATGTGCACGTGATAAGGAATCTTCAAGTACAATATTGATATTAAAACGTCTTCTTTTTTCGTGCTTTTGTACTGCTTCCATGCGATCCAAAACTTTAGGGAAGCTTAGAACTTGAATACCTTGTCCATCTTCACATTTTAATAATGCAAAACCAGGTGCAAATTCCGAAGACATTACATGATTTTTGAGAAGTGTACTTAAGCGATTTAAGTTTCTAACTAACTGCCATTTAATTTCCCCAGTTGTGTCTCTAAAGAGCCCAAGAGAAATTCTTTTGTCTTTACAAGGGCTAGATTCACAGGAAACTTTGATTTCCTCTCTCTTATAAGTTTTGTCTTCTGATACAGTGCATATTTTAATGGCATTATTAGTATTGCACTGCCAAGCTTTCATGCTCCCGTATTTGCCAAAATGCTCAACCACGTCTGCCCAATCGCTGGAAGTGAGAAGCCTTCGTCGGCATTTTGGGTTTTGTGATTTTTTGAGCACTTTCGTTGGCAACGGTTTTCTGAGACCTCGATAAGGGCTCGTGGAGTACTCTGGGAACTTTCTGTTGTTTGACTCATGCGTGTCGTCCTCAAGCATCTCTTCGTAAGTGCCGTACGTTGGGAAAACTGCATGTGTAGGGTCAACTGATTCGATTGCTTGAGTAAGAGATGTCGACTCAGTGGGTTCATATACGAGGTATTGAACATGACTTGTTTTGTTCTCTGCAAGAGGTAGCTCCGAATTAATTGTTTGTCGAGTTTGTTTGTCAAATCGATTCGTTTGAAAACGAAAACCTAGAAAACATATTTTAAATGATAATCAGCAAATTTTAAAACTGTCATTATCGTTCATATGAGAATCTTTACCATGCTTAAAGGAACTTATTGCCACGGCGATAAGAGTTTTTATTGCTTCCTGGAATAATTTATAGTTGAAATTAATTATGTGAAATAAGTAATTTGCGCGCGCAAGTTAATTTAAGTATAGTTACGTGATTGGAAATTTTGGTATTTATCAATGGTGAAGCGGGGCATCTTTCCTTTCCTATTCCACGAGGGCTGCAGTTCACATCAAGAAATTGGATGGAAGAGATTTACCCACCCTCCTCCCCGTTTTTGGACGCTATATGTTGAACTTATATAGATACGTTATGTGTAGTGGGCGTTAGTAATACCCCCACCTTTTCTGTGCTAAATGTTATATAGTTATTAATTAATACTTTTTCTTGTTAATTATTAAAATTTGATTAAAACAATAAAGCGGCTATGTGCAAACAACCGCCGGGCACATGAGCCATAATTATGCCATAAAGACTTTGACTGGTCTTGTAGTATTCGGCAGGACAGAAAACCGAGCTCAACCTGACAAACAGTTTGCCAGTGGTGGTTTAATATATGCAAGGAAGCGATAAATACCTTTCTCTTATATCATAATAATAGTAATATAGTAATACACCCCTTTTAAACCTCTACGTTGTAAACTGACACAAATATTTTTTCCCAAGCACCCAAAACCACAGAGTTTTCCCAGGCGAACTGGTTTTATCTTGTAGAAATTCTGGACTGGATTTAGAGATGACCTTATTAGATATCTGCATGAAGAGAACACAGTCAAGAGTTGATAGAGAAGTATAATTTTCTTAAAGTTTAACTTACCCAGTCTTTCTGTCATTATAAAAACTGTGTCCAATAGTTCGTAGTTGAATATTAATACGTACATGGACAACAAGGCAGCCAGAATTTTGCACTAAAATCAGAATTTAATAGTAAAAATAGATTGAGGTCACTGAACTAAATCAAATTTCATATAAATCTTAAATTACGAAGTTGGAAAATTATCCCCGAGCGAACGGCGCTTTCCGGGCGTAAGCACGGGGCGAGGGCACTAAATCCGCCTGGCTATTTACACCCAGGCCAGGGGAAGGAAAGCATTAGCGAAGTCTTAAGTTCATCAGTAAATCGCGGGCGCGTGACTATGGTTCATCGATGTCATCGGTGGACGTCCTCACTGATCTCAAAAATATGGCTTTTTGCAGGAGTATGATGAGCAAGATTTCAATTTTCAAAAACGTATCTTTAGAAAATCGTTTCATATACAATAAGATTTGAAGCAATTTTGCTTTGAAGAAATAAGAATTGATTTACTGTGAGAAAACGGGCAAGATATACATTGAACTGAATTACAAAATCTACAAAACAGTAGTTGAGGCCGCTGCTGCTATACGAAGGTATTGAGTACTCTGAAATTCATGTGAATCAATGTACTATTATGTTCACCACGAATTCTAAAACAACGATTCATTTTGTACAACATTTTATTCTAAAACAGTTTTAGAAAGGCGCACCCGTTTGTTATGGAAGTATACGTATAAACAAACCCCTGGCGCAAAACATCGCCGGAATATGCTCATAAATATGTGAGTTCGTTCAGACGTTAACTAATTTACTCACCAATTTCACGAATTTCATTTTACGTCTTTGGTCTTTGTGTCGATCCAATTGCATTTCGAATCTTTGAGCGTACTGATATATAAAAGACCTGTATATAAAGACGATTTTTAATCTTTGTCTAGAGAAATTTCAACCTGTTTGACGAGTTGTCGAACTGATTTATTGAAGAATTGTTTTACTGGTATACCAGACTATTCAAACAATTTTCTCAATTGTTGAATAAAGATGAATATGTTAAATCCTGTTTTAAATTGTTTTAGTGATAGTCGATTCACACCATATGGCATTAATATTTTTAGATATGGCAAAATATACCTGACTCGGATGAGCTAACGCGTGTTTGTTGTGCTTGTTCCTGTCGAATAAACCAAATTAACGGTCGGCTGGTGGTTTGTTCAAAATCCGCCATTGTTCTTAAAACAATTACGACGAGAACTGACATCTGAGTAAACTATACATGAAATAGTCCTAAAACATATTAATATTCGTATTTGGGATTCTAGAAGTTAATTATTTTCTCTGAGAACAAGGCCACACATGTATTATCTATCATTTGATATTACTTTTGTAGTTTAGCACCTAAAATAGTGTTACAGATTTCTTTGTGAAATGTGAAATACATTCGTATGAAAAACATCAGATAAACTAGATTACTAAAAACTCTTTTGTCTTGCAATACCACCCAACATAAACATAACGTCGTGCATTCCCTGAAACAAGTTTCACAATCTGTGAACCATTTCAGCATCCACACGGATCGTCCATTTTTTGAGGTCTACCAAACCAGGTTTACGTTCAACGAACCGTTTCACGATCTGCACCAATGCGCACGGATTATCCATGTTTAGGGGTCAAACTTCATGCGTCCCCTGAACGGAAACGGGCCCGAGTTTCTAATTGCTTGGGGAATAGGTATAGCTAATAATTACAGCTATGGACAATATAAGTTATTCTACTCAATTTTACTTCTCATCGAAATTCATTGCTTTACGTTGATGAATACTTGAATAAACTTTATTTTGAAAAGGTAAATTTCTACATTGTTCCTGGGAACAGTAATCTTCCCAATGGCCGTTTATAAGTAGATTATTATTTAGTATATTTGCAATAAAACAAAACATTACACAAATATTGCTTAGAGACATAAACAAGTACGGCTAATTAGGTAGTTACAACGAATACATCCAAATTGTTCTAAACGGTCAAATTCGTAATTCAGTATTCTAGTATTCAGACCATGTACATCACGGTGAACACGGTGTGCACATTTCAGAAAGTTTGAGGCAATTGAATAATAAACACAGGCAGTTGAAGAACAGGCCTAATCTATTGCTAGTTCTACATTATAGCTTTTCCTCAGGTTTGCTCTGCATTCCCATTAGTCTCTCCATCTACTCTTCTTGAACTTAAATGTTGGAATAAATAATTCTAATTGCTTGTGACTAGTAGCAGTCAATAGAAACGTCACTGTTCTAGGCAGTAGGGTCACGGATTCAGGATATTTGAGCGAGATTCGAATATTCTGTGTCGTTTTGAAACCAATAGTAAGTTTATACATGACATCTGCGCATGCGTTGACTGCTTCGTAGGTCTTAATCACACTCCTCCACTTCGCTTTGGCACCAAGCCTTCGAACGCGAGATATGATCGTTAAACATGGCTGATCTAATATCTGCCTTCGCGGTTTGAGCTTGAAATTCTCCTGTGAGGCTGTTTTTAAGTAGAACTCATTCCTCCATAGTGTGTTGTTTCGTTGATCGGCATGACATGCGCATAGCTTAGGGTCGACACCTTCATCCGTGCATTTCTCGTATTTATTAAATTGGCTAATACGAACCAGGTTATTTAACGTTATACCGTTCACATTTTCTTTCATAGGAAACGACATTTCGAAGTCAAAAATTTCCACAGTTTTTGTATTGAAGGGCTTCACCAATAAACTGAAAATTAATTTTTGGTCTGAGCCGGCAATAAGTCGCCGCGCACGCGTAATTCCCGTTCTTGTATAACGCTGACATGCGCCGTAACCATAGAAACCTGACGTAAGCGCCCCTCCTGGCTTCGACCTCAAAGCTGTGGTATACTGCTCTTGAATTCTGTTATTCAAAGTCCCCAAAGCAAATTCAGCTGCCCATTGGACTATCTCAGAATCGTTAGGCACAGTTGTATCCATCCCCTCGCACAAACATAACACATCCCATCTTATAGTCATTTGCTCGCATGTTCGATCTAAGGGCACTGGTTTAAATAACCCACGCAGACGCGTTGGTATCACCCCTACATTAGGGTTTCTGTGATGCCCATTAGGATCTGCGTGAAGAACCCGGTTTTTTGGAGGGTCCTCTGTGTGAGTACCCCAAATATTTGGATCCGTGTCTAATATTGATACCAGTGAATGATGAAGGTCTTCATGTCCTACCAATCGATTCTGGTTCACCACCAAAGCATTCATAACTTCTGGACCAAGGAACTCGCTGATTTCGTGTGGAATGATGATAAATAATAAAGGTTGATTTATCTCTTCCCGACCTTGTGTTGTATAGGTTGCAAAATCGGTCGCTTTTGCCCCGTGGTCTGACGTAAATATGGTCACAGTGTTGCGCAAATGTGCTGCATGGTGGAACAAATCTGCTAGACTTTCATCGTCGTTGACTATGCGTCTTCCATTAGTATCGTGTGAGGTTAACAAATGTGTATAAGCTAAAAATGGCTGTGCTGCCATATCGTTAAGCTCTGTGTACTTTTTCACATACTCCAAAAAGAGGGACTCGTAATGTCGTCCTGCGAAACAAATATTTGGGACAGTTCTGGAACTATACGGATTCGTCACTTTATAATTTTTGTAAACATCGCATGACAATATTGATATACCATAATCATCAACCTCTTCCCAGCTTCCTGATTTTTCTAAAATTCCAACATAATCTTTCCATCTGCTCAGCCGTGCTTTTTCGTTTTCAACACGACCTACTCTTTTGCGCGGATCAAGCAACGAACCCCATTTATCGTACCAACAACCATCCTCTTGAAGTAGGGTACTATATCCAGCCTTTTTATACCGACTGAACATTTCCTCAAGCCCATGCGTGCAAGTATACTCGGTATCATTCGGGAGAAATTTCCTGATCACATTATCACAGCTCGTCTTGGTCTTCCAGTACTTTTGAGCTGTAAACAGTCTCTGAAGGGTATTATAAGTGCTCGGTGCATAGCTTTGGACTTTCTCAAATTCCAGCAATGTTGACGGTATTGATTGGTTATAAATAATATCTCTAAAAGTTGATGCAGTTTTTAAAAGAGTTCTATAAAAATGTGCACGTGATAAGGAATCTTCAAGTACAATATTGATATTAAAACGTCTTTTTTCGTGCTTTTGTACTGCATCCATGCGATCCAAAACTTTGGGGAAGCTTAGAACTTGAATACCTTGTCCATCTTCACATTTTAATAATGCAAAACCAGGTGCAAATTCCGAAGATATTATATGATTTTTGAGAAGTGTACTTAAGCGATTTAAATTTCTAACTAATTGCCATTTGATTTCCCCAGTTGTGTCTCCAAAGAGCCCAAGAGAAATTATTTTGTCTTTACAAGGGCTAGCATCACAGGAAACTTTGATTTCCTCTCTCTTATAATTTTTGTCTTCTGATACAGTGCATATTTTAATGGTATTGTTTGTATTGCACTGCCAAGCCTTCATGCTCCCGTATTTGCCAAAATGCTCAACCACGTCTGCCCAATCGCCGGAAGTGAGAAGCCTTCGTCGGCATTTTGGGTTTTGTGATTTTTTGAGCACTTCTGTTGCCAACGGTTTTCTGAGACCTCGATAAGGGCTCGTGGAGTACTCTGGGAACTTTCTGTTGTTTGACGCATGCGTATCGTCCTCAAGCATCTCTTCGTAAGTGCCGTACATTGGGAAAACTGCGTGCGTAGGGTCAATTGATTGGATTGGTTGAGTGTGGGTAATTGTGGACTCGGTGTGTTTCTTTACGAGGGATTTAACATGACTTGTTTTGTGTTCTGCAATGGCTAGCTCCAAATCAGTTGTTGGTCGAGTACTTTGGTGGAATCGATTCGTTCGGAAGCGGGCAGCTAGAAACATCATTTTGAGTGAGAATCAACAAATTTTAAAACTGTCATTGTCGTTCATATTATAACCTTACATGAAAATTGGGTTCGGTGGCGAAGTGGTTAGCGCACTTGCCTTTCACCTCTAAGGCCGCAGGTTCAAGCCTCAGTGAGAAATTTCTCAATGCGACTCGAACCCAGTCCTCACGTGAAAAGAGTAAAAGTCAACGCTCTGCCGATAGTCATGGGTTTTCTCCGGGTACTCCGTGTTTCCTCCCACAGGGAAAGTTGACAGGGTGGGTTAGGTAAAAGGGCCCACAGTAATTGACATATGCTATTGTGGTGTCCCTGCCCTAGTTGATGAAGCTAAATAAATAAATAAAAATCTTGACCATGCTTGAATACCTTTCTCTTATATCATAATAATAATAATACACCTCTTTTAAACCTCTACGTTGTAAATGGAGACAAATATTTTTTTCAACCGCCCAAAACCACATAGTTTTTCCAGGTAAACTGGTTTCATCTTGTAGAAATTCTTGACTGGATTTAGGGATTCACTTATTAGATATCTGCATGCATGAAGAGAACACAGTCAAGAATTGATAGAGAAGTTTAATTTTCGTTCAGTGCACTTACCCAGTCTCTCTGTCATTATAAAAACAGTGTCCAATAGTTCATAGTTGAATATTAATACGTACATGGACAGCAAGGCACCAAGAATTATGCACTACAAACAGAATTTAATCATAATGATAGATTGAGGTCACTGAAAAATCAAGTTTCATACAAATCTGAAATTATGAAGTTGGAAATTATCCTCGAGCCAACGGCGCTTTCCAACCGTCAGGGTACTAATTCCGCCCGGCTATTTACACCCGGGGGCGGGAAAACATTAGCGAAGTGTGAAGTTCATCAATAAATCGCGGGCGCGTGACCATGGTTCTTTGGTGTCATGGGTGGACGTCTTCACTGATCTCAAAAATATGGATTTTTGGCGGGAGTATAGGATAAGCAAGATTTCAATTTTCAAAAACATATATTTGGAAGATCGTTTCATACAATGAAATTTCAAGCAATTTTGCTTTGAAGAAATAAGAATTGATATACTATGGGAAATCGGGCAAGATATGCAATGAACAACGAACTGAACTGCAAAATGTACAAAACAGTATTGAGGCCGCTGCTGCTATACTGAGATGTCGAGTATTCTGAAATTAATGTGAATCAATGTACTATTATGGTCATTCTAATTTTGAACGGAACCCAAAACAATCATTCTTTTTGTAGCGCATTTTATTCTAAAACAGTTTTAGAAAGTCGCATCCGTTTGTTATTGAAATATACGTATAAACAAAACCCCTAGCCCAAAACATCGAATATGCACATAAATATGTGAGTTCATCCAGACGTTAACTAATTTACTCACCAATTTCACGAATTTCATTTTACACCTTTGCACTTTTGGTTGATCGAATTGTATTTCGAATGTTTGAGCGTATACTGATATATAAAAGACCTGGCTGTATATTAAGACGATTTTTAATCTTTGTCTTGAAGTATCAACGTGTTAGGCGAGTTGTCCATCATGATTCATTGGACAATTGTTTTACTACTGGTATACCAGTCTATTCAATCAATTCTCTCAATTGTTGAATAAAGTTGAATATATTAAATCCTGTTTTAAATTGTTTTAGTGATAGTCGATTCACACCATATGGCATTAATATTTTTAGATATGGCAAAATATACCTGACTCGTATGAGCTAACGCGTGTTTGTTGTGCCTGTTCCTGTCGAATAAACCAAATTAACGGTCGGCTGGTGGTTTGTTCAAAATCCGCCATTGTTAAACAATTAGGACGAGAACTGACATCTGAGTAAACTATACATGAAATAGTCCTAAAACATATTAATATTCGTATTTGGGAATCTAGAAGTTAATTATTTTCTCTGAGAACAAGGCCACACATGTATTATCTATCGTTTGATATTACTTTTGTAGTTTAGCGTCTAAAATAGTGTTACAGATTTTTTGTGAAATTTGGGAATATATTCGTATGGAAAACATCAGATAAACTAGATTACTAAAAACTCTTTTGTCTTGCAATATCAACATAAACACAAAGTCGTGCATTCCCTGAAATTACAAGTTTCACAATCTTTGAACCATTTCAGCATCCACACGAATCGACCATGTACATCACGGTGAACACGGTGTGCACATTTCAGAAAGTTTGAGGCAGTTGAATAATAAACACAGGCAGTTGAATAACAGCCCTAATCCATTGTTAGTTCTAGATTATAGCTTTTCCCCAGGTTTTCCTGCATTCCCATTAGTTTCTCCATCTACTCTTCTTGAACTTAAATGTTGGAATAAATAATTCTAATTGCTTGTGACTAGTAGCAGTCAATAGAAACGTCACTGTTCTAGGCAGTAGGGTCACGGATTCAGGATATTTGAGCGAGACTCGCGTATTCTGCGTCATTTTGAAAGCAATAATAAGTTTATACATGACATCTGGGCATGCGTTGACTGCTTCGTAGGTCTTAATCACACTCCTCCAATTCGTTCTGGCACCAAGCCTTCGAACGCGAGATATGATCGTTAAACATGGCCGATCTAATATCTGCCTTCGCGGTTTGAGCTTGAAATTCTCCTGTGAGGCTGTTTTTAAGTAGAACTCATTCCTCCATAGTGTGTTGTTTCGTTGATCGGCATGACATGCGCATAGCGTTGGGTCGACACCTTCATCCGTGCATTTCTCGTATTTATTAAATTGGCTAATACGAACTAGGTAATTTAACGTTATACCGTTCACATTTTCTTTCATAGGGAACGACACTTCGAAGTCAAAAATTTCCACAGTTTTTGTATTGAAAGGCTTCACCAACAAAGTGAAAATTAACTTTTGCTCTAGCTCGACAACAATGTGCCGGGCGCGCGTAATTCCCGTTCCTGTATACCGCTGACATGCACCGTAACCATAGAAACCTGACGTAAGCGCTCCTCCTGGCTTCGACCTCAAAGCTGTGGTATACTGCTCTTGAATTCTGTTATTCAAAGTCCCCAAAGCAAATTCAGCTGCCCATTGGACTATCTCAGAATCGTTGGGCACAGTTGTATCCATACCCTCGCACAAACATAACACATCCCATCTTATGGTCATTTGCTCGCATGTTCGATCTAAGGGCACTGGTTTAAATAACCCACGCAGACGCGTTGGTATCACCCCTACATTAGGGTTTCTGTGATGCCCATTAGGATCTGCGTGAAGAACCCGGTTTTTTGGAGGGTCCTCTGTGTGAGTACCCCAAATATTTGGATCCGTGTCTAATATTGATACCAGTGAATGATGAAGGTCTTCATGTCCTACCAATCGATTCTGGTTCACCACCAAAGCATTCATAACTTCTGGACCAAGGAACTCGCTGATTTCGTGTGGAATGATGATAAATAATAAAGGTTGATTCGCCTCTTCCCGACCTTGTGTTGTATAGGCTGCAAAATCGGTCGCTCTTCCTCCGTGGTCTGATATAAATATGGTCACAGTGTTGCGCAAATGTGCTGCATGGTGAAACAAATCTGCTAGACTTTCATCGTCGTTGACTATGCGTCTACCATTAGTATCGTGTGAGGTTAACAAATGTGTATAGGCTAAAAATGGCTGTGCTGCCATATCGTTAAGCTCTGTGTACTCTTTCACATACTCCAAAATAAAGGACCCATAATGTCGTCCTGCGAAGCACACGTTTGGGACAGCTTTAGAACTAAACGAATTCGTCTTGTTATAGTTTTTATAAACATCGCATGATAATATTGACATACCGTAGTCATCAACCTCTTTCCAGCGTCCTGATTTTTCCAAAATTCCAACATAATCTTTCCATCTGCTCAGCCGTGCTTTTTCGTCTTTGACAAGAGCTAATTTTTTGCGCGGATCAAGCAACGAACCCCACTCATCGTACCAACAACGGTCTTCTTGAAGTAGGGTACTATATCCGGCCTTTTTATACCGACTGAACATTTCCTCAACCCCAAATGTACAAGTATATTCGGTATCATTCGGAAGAAATTTCTTGACCGAATTATCACAGTTCGTTTTGGTCTTCCAGTACTTTTGAGCTGTAAACAGTCTCTGAAGGGTGTTATATGTGTTCGGCAGATGGCTTTGGACTTTCTCAAATTCCAGCAAAGTTGATGGTATTGATTGGTTATAAATAATATCTCTAAAAGTTGATGCAGTTTTTAAAAGAGTTCTATAAAAATGTGCACGTGATAAGGAATCTTCAAGTACAATATTGATATTAAAACGTCTTCTTTTTTCGTGCTTTTGTACTGCTTCCATGCGATCCAAAACTTTGGGGAAGCTTAGAACTTGAATACCTTGTCCATCTTCACATTTTAATAATGCAAAACCAGGTGCAAATTCCGAAGACATTACATGATTTTTGAGAAGTGTACTTAAGCGATTTAAGTTTCTAACTAACTGCCATTTAATTTCCCCAGTTGTGTCCCTAAAGAGCCCAAGAGAAATTCGTTTGTTTTTACAAGGGCTAGCATCACAGGAAACTTTGATTTCCTCTCTCTTATAATTTTTGTCTTCTGATACAGTGCATATTGTAATGGTATTGTTTGTATTGCACTGCCCAGCTTTCATGCTCCCGTATTTGCCAAAATGCTTAACCACGTCTGCGCAATCGCTGGAAGTGAGAAGCCTTCTTCGGCAGTTTGGGTTTTGTGATTTTTTGAGCACGTTTGTTGCCAACGGTTTTCTGATACCTTGATAAGGGCTCGTGGAGTACTCTGGAAACTTTCTGTTGTTTGACGCATGCGTATCGTCCTCAAGCATCTCTTCGTAAGTGCCGTACGTTGGGAAAACTGCGTGCGTAGGGTCAAGTGATTCGATTGGTTGAGTAAGAGATGTCGACTCAGTGGGTTCATATACGAGGTATTGAACATGACTTGTTTTGTTTTCTGCTAGAGGTAGCTCCGAATTAATTGTTTGTCGAGTTTCTTTGTCAAATCGATTGGTTGGAAAACGGAAGCCTAGAAAAAATATTTCAAATGATAATCAGCAAATTTTAAAACTGTCATTATTGTTCATATATGAAATTCTTTACCATGCTTAAATACATTTCTCTTGTATCATAATAATAGTAATATAGTAATACACCCCTTTTAAACCTCTACGTTGTAAACGGACACAAATATTTTTTTCCCAACCTCCCAAAACCACAGAGTTTTTCCAGGCAGACTGGTTTCATCTTTTAGGAATTCTGAACTGGATTTAGAGATGGCCTTATTAGATATCTGCATGAAGAGAACACAGTCAAGAATCGATAGAGAAGTTTAATTTTGTTAAAGTTTAACTTACCCAGTCTTTCTGTCATTATGAAAACAGTGTCCAATAGTTCATAGTTGAATATTAATACGTATATGGACAGCAAGGCAGTCAGAATTATGCACTAAAAACAGAATTTAATAATAAAATAGAAGGTCACTGAAGTGACTGAACTAAATCAAATTTCATATAAATCTTAAATTAGGAAGTTGGAAATTATCCCCGAGCCAACGGCGCTTTCCGGGCGTAAGCCCGGGGCGAGGGCACTAATTCCGCCTGGCTATTTGCACCCAGGGGAAGGAAAGCATTAGCGAAATCTTAAGTTCATCAGTAAATCGCGGGCGCGTGACTATGGTTCATCGGTGTCATCGGTGGACGTCCTCACTGATCTCAAAAATATGGCTTTTTGCAGGAGTATGATAAGCAAGATTTCAATTTTCAAAAACGTATTTTTAGAAAATCGTTTCATATACAATACGATTTGAAGCAATTTTGCTTTGAAGAAATAAGAATTGATTTACTATGAGACATCGAGCAAGATATACAATGAACAATGAACTGAACTGCAAAATGTACAAAACAGTATTGAGGCCGCCGCTTCTATACGGAGGTATCGAGTACTCTGAAATTCATGTGAATCAATTATGTTCACTATGAACTCTAAAACAACGATTCATTTTGTACCACATTTTATTCTAAAACAGTTTTAGAAAGTCGCACCCGTTTGTTATGTAAATATAAGTATAAACAAACTCCTGGCCCAAAACTCCGAATATGCTCATAAATATGTGAGTTCATTCAGACGTTAACTAATTTACTCACCAATTTCACGAATTTCATTTTACACCTTTGCATTTTTGGTTGATCGAATTGTATTTCGAATCTTTGAGCGTATACTAATATATAAAAGACCTGGCTGTATATGAAGACGATTTTTAATCTTTGTCTTGAAATATCAACCTGTTAGGCGAGTTGTCCTGCTGATTCATTGGACAATTGTTTCACTGGTATACCAGTTGATTGAATCAATTCTCTCAATTGTTGAGTAAAGTTGAATATATTAAATACTGTTTTAAATTGTTTTAGTGATAGTCGATTCACACCATATGGCATTAATATTTTTAGATATGACAAAATATACCTGACTCGGATGCGTGTTTGTTGTGCTTGTTCCTGTTCCTGTCGAATAAACCAAATTAACGAATTTCGACATCATTGGTGGTTAGTTCAAAATCCGCCATTCTTAAACAATTAGGACTAGAACTGACATCTGAGTAAACTATTCTTCAAACACTGTTGGCAAATCATGTCAACCATAATATGTCACGTGCAGTGGCTTTAAACCTGATAAAACACTCCTAATTAGTATTCTTTATATAAAGAATACTAATAAGGCAGTATCTATTGTAGTCGTGTCCTCATTAGTATTCTTTATATAATGAATACTAATGAGGCAGTATATCTGATGAATTTGTAGTCGTGTTTGAAGCCGTTTAATAAACTCGCAGGTCGTGTTTTATTAGGTCTAAATCCACTTGCGCTGCGCGCTCGTGGCTTTAAACCTAATAAAACACTCCTGGTCGTTTATTAAACAGTACTTCAAATACTCATTAATAATTCATGAAGCAATTATCCAATCTTGAGTAAGAAATTAGTCACGTGCATACGTCTTTATACCAGCTAAAGAACACTTTAACAAAAGACCATTGTTATGCAAACTATATAAAGATTTTTATATAAAGATTTTTATATAAAAATTTGACTTATTATGCAAACGTTTTTGAAGCCATTTAAAAAACTCGCGCGCAGGTCGTGTTTTATTAGGTCTAAAGCCACTCGCACTGCGCGCTCGTGGCTTTAAACCTAATAAAACACTCCTGCTCGTTTTTTAAATAGTACCTAAAACATATTAATATTCGTGTTTGGGAATCTAGAAGTTAATTATTTTCTCTGAGAACAAGGCCACCAATGTATTATCTATCATTTGATATTACTTTTGTAGTTTAGCGCCTAAAATAGTGTTGCAGATTTCTTTGTGAAATTTGGGAATACATTCGTATGAAAAACATCAGATAAACTGGATTACTAAAAACTCTTTTGTCTTGCAATACCACCCAACATAAACACAAAGTCATGCATTCCCTGAAACAAGTTTCACAATCTGTGAACCATTTCAGCATCCACACGTTATACGGTTTACGTTCCGTTAACCGTTTCACGATCTGCACCAATGCGCACGGATTATCCATGTTTAGAGGTCAAACTTCATGCGTCCCCTGAACGGAAAGGGGCCCGAGTTTCTAATCGTTTGGGGAATAGGTATAGCTAATAATTACAGCTATGGACAATAAGTTATTCTACTCAATTTTAATTCTCATCGAAATTCATTGCTTTACGTTAATGAATACTTGAATAAACTTTATTTTGAAAAGGTAAATTTCTACATTGTTGCCGGGAACAGTAATCTTCCCAATGGCCGTTTATAAGTAGATTATTATTTAGTATATTTGCAATAAAATAAAACATTACACAAATATTGCTTAGAGACATCAACAAGTACGGCTAACTAGGTAGTTACAACGAATACATCCAAATTGTTGTAAACGGTCAACTTGGTAATTCAGTATTCTAGTATTCAGACCATGTACATCACGGTGTACACGGTGTGCACATTTCAGAAAGTTTGAGGCAGTTGAATAATAAACACAGGCGGTTGAATAACAGGCCTAATCCATTGCTAGTTCTAGATTATAGCTTCCCCCCAGGTTTTCTCTGCATTCCCATTAGTCTCTCCATCTACTCTTCTTGAACTTAAATGTTGGAATAAATAATTCTAAATTCTTGTGTTTAGTAGCAGTCAATAGAAACGTCACTGTTCTCGGCAGTAGGGTCACGGATTCAGGATATTTGAGCGAGATTCGCGTATTCTGCGTCGTTTTGAAACCAATAGTAAGTTTATACATGGCATCTGGGCATGCGTTGACTGCTTCGTAGGTCTTAATCGCAATCCTCCAATCCGCTTTCGCACCAAGACTTCGAACGCGAGATATGATCGTTAAACATGGCCGATCTAATATCTGCCTTCGCGGTTTGAGCTTGAAATTCTCTTGTGAGGCTGTTTTTAAGTAGAACTCATTCCTCCATAGTGTGTTGTTTCGTTGATCGGCATGACATGCGCATAGCTTAGGGTCGACACCTTCATCCGTGCATTTCTCGTATTTATTAAATTGGCTAATACGAACCAGGTTATTTAACGTTATACCGTTCACATTTTCTTTCATAGGGAACGACACTTCGAAGTCAAAAATTTCCACAGTTTTTGTATTGAAAGGCTTCACCAATAAACTGAAAATTAACTTTTGGTCTGAGCCGGCAATAAGTCGCCGCGCACGCGTAATTCCCGTTCTTGTATACCGCTGACATGCGCCGTAACCATAGAAACCTGACGTAAGCGCTCCTCCTGGCTTCGACCTCAAAGCTGTGGTATACTGCTCTTGAATTCTGTTATTCAAAGTCCCCAAAGCAAATTCAGCTGCCCATTGGACAATCTCAGAATCGTTAGCCACAGATGTATCTACACCCTCGCACAAACATAACACATCCCATCTTATAGTCATTTGCTCGCATGTTCGATCTAAGGGCACTGGTTTAAATAACCCACGCAGACGCGTTGGTATCACCCCTACATTAGGGTTTCTGTGATGTCGATTAGGATCTGAGTGAAGAACCCGGTTGTTTGGGTGGTCCTCTGTGTGAGTACCCCATATATTTGGATCCGTGTCTAATATTGATACCAGTGAATGATGAAGGTCTTCAAGTCCGACCAATCGATTCTGGTTCACCACCAAAGCATTCATAACTTCTGGACCGAGGAACTCGCTGATTTCGTGTGGAATGATTATAAATAATAAAGGTTGATTTATCTCTTCCCGACCTTGTGTTGTATAGGCTGCAAAATCGGTCGCTCTTGCTCCGTGGTCTGACGTAAATATGGTCACAGTGTTGCGCAAATGTGCTGCATGGTGGAACAAATCTGCTAGACTTTCATCGTCGTTGACTATGCGTCTTCCATTAGTATCATGTGAGGTTAACAAATGTGTATAAGCTAAAAATGGCTGTGCTGCCATATCGTTAAGCTCGGTGTACTTTTTCACATACTCCAAAAAGAAGGACCCATGATTTCGTCCTGCGAAACAAATATTTGGGACAGTTCTAGAACTAAACGGATTCGCCACTTTATAACTTTTATAAACATCGCAGGACAATATTGACATACCATAATCATCAAACTCTTTCCAGCTTCCTGATTTTTCTAAAATTGCAACATAATCTTTCCATCTGCTCAGCCGTGCTTTTTCGTTTTTAACACGAGCTGATGTTCTGCGCGGATCAAGAAATGATCTCCCTATATCGTACCAACAGTGGTCTTCTTGAAGTAGGGTACTATATCCAGCCTTTTTATACCGACTGAACATTTCCTCAAGCCCAAACGTACAAGTATGCTCTGTATCATTCGGAAGAAAGTTCTTGACCGAAATATAGCAGTTCGTCTTGGTCTTCCAGTACTTTTGGGCTGTAAACAGTCTCTGAAGGGTATTATAAGTGCCCGGTGCATAGCTTTGGACTTTCTCAAATTCCAGCAAAGTTGATGGTATTGATTGGTTATAAATAATATCTCTAAAAGTTGATGCAGTTTTTAAAAGAGTTCTATAAAAATGTGCGCGCGATAAGGAATCTTCAAGTACAATATTGATATTAAAACGTCCTCTCTTTTCGTGCTTTTGTACTGCTTCCATGCGATCCAAAACTTTGGGGAAGCTTAGAACTTGAATACCTTGTCCATCTTCACATTTTAATAATGCAAAACCAGGTGCAAATTTCGAAGACATTATATGATTTTTGAGAAGTGTACTTAATCGATTTAAGTCTCTAACTAACTGCCATTTGATTTCCCCAGTTGTGTCTCTAAACAGCCCAAGAGAAATTCGTTTGTCTTTACAAGGGCTAGCATCACAGGAAACTTGGATTTCCTCTCTCTTATAAGTTTTGTCTTCTGATACAGTGCATATTGTAATGGTATTGTTTGTATTGCACTGCCAAGCTTTGATGCTCCCGTATTTGCCAAAATGCCCAACCACGTCTGCCCAATCGCTGGAAGTGAGAAGCCTTCGTCGGCATTTTGGGTTTTGTGATTTTTTGAGCACTTTTGTTGCCAACGGTTTTCTGATACCTTGATAAGGGCTCGTGGAGTACTCTGGGAACTTTCTGTTGTTTGACGCATGCGTATCGTCCTCAAGCATCTCTTCGTAAGTGCCGTACGTTGGGAAAACTACGTGCGTAGGGTCAACTGATTCGATTGGTTGAGTATGGGTAATTGTGGACTCGGTGTGTTTCTTTACGAGGGATTTAACATGACTTGTTTTGTGTTCTGCGATGGGTAGCTCCAAATCAGTTGTTGGTCGAGTACTTTGGTGGAATCGATTCGTTCGGAAGCGGGCAGCTAGAAACATCATTTTGAGTGAGAATCAACAAATTTTAAAACTGTCATTATCGTTCATATTATAACCTTACATGAAAATTGGGTTCAATGGCGAAGTGGTTAGCGCACTTGCCTTTCACCTCTAAGGTCGCATGCAGGTTTAAGCCTCAGTGAGAAATTTCTCAATGTGACTCGAACGCAGTCCTCACGTGAAGAGAGTAAAAGTCAACGCTCTGCCGAAAGTCGTGGGTTTTCTCTGGGTACTCTGGTTTCCTCCCACAGGGAAAGTTGACAGGGTGGGTTAGGTAAAAAGGGCCCACAGTAATTGGCATATGCTGTTGTGGTGACCCTGCCCTAGTTGGCGAAGCTAAATAAATAAATAAAAATCTTTACCATGCTTGAATACCTTTCTCTTATTTCATAATAATAGTAATATAGTAATGCACCTCTTTTAAACCTCTACGTTGTAAGTGGACACAAATATTTTTTTCAACCGCCCAAAACCACAGAGTTTTTCCAGCTAAACTGGTTTCGTCTTGTGGAAATTCTGGACTGGATTTAGGGATCGAGTTATTAGATATCTGCATGAAGAGAACACGGTCAAGAGTTGACAGAGAAGTTTAATTTTCGTTCAGTGCACTTACCCAGTCTTCCTGTCATTATAAAAACAATGTCCAATACTCCATAGTTGAATATTAGTACGCACATGGACAGCAAGGCAGTCAGAATTATGCACTACAAAGAGAATTTAATCATAATGATAGATTGAGGTCACTGAAAAATCAAGTTTCATACAAATCTGAAATTATGAAGTTGGGAATTATCCTCGAGCCAACGGCTCTTTCCAAGCGTTAGGGTACTAATTCCGCCCGGCTCGGGCGCGTCACCATGGTTCTTTGGTGTCATCGGCATTGGTCATGGTGGACGGCCTCACTGATCTCAAAAATATTGATTTTTGGCGGGAGTATATATAGGATGAGCAAGATTTCAATTTTCAAAAACATATATTTGGAAGATCGTTTCATACAATGCGATTTGAAGCAATTTTGCTTTGAAGAAATAAGAATTGATTTACTATGAGAAATCGGGCAAGATATGCAATGAACAATGAACTGAACTGCAAAATCTAGCGAACAGTATTGAGGCCGCTGCTGCTATACGGAGGTATCGAGTTCTCTGAAATTAATGTGAATCAATGAGGGTCTTAATGGGGGTCTTTGGGTGTCAGTTGTCAGCAAAAATTTAAGCCAGTTGTCAGTGCGATATATTAATAGCAAGGTGTCAGTAGTCAGTTACTGTCAAATGCCAACTCATCATTTTGTCATCATTTCTCAGTTGTAAGTTAGGATATTTTGTCAGTTGTCAGTCAAAAATTCGGGCAAATGTCAGCAGTCAGTTAACCCCATTCAGACGCTCATCAATGTACTATTATGTTTACTCTAACGGAACCCAAAACAATCATTCTTTTTGTTCCGCATTTTATTCTAAAACAGTTTTTCAAACAAGAAATTTCACAAATTTTAAACAAGAAATTTCAAATGTAGCCAGCTTACGCGTGTTGACTCAATGGCATACGCCAGAAAACGAATCGTACATGATTAATCGCAGCTTCAGAAAGTCGCACCCGTTTGTTATTGAAATATACGTATAAACAAAACCCCTAGCCCAAAACATCGAATATGCTCATAAATATGTGAGTTCATTCAGACTTTCACTAATTTACTCACCAATTTCACGAATTTCATTTTACACCTTTGCATTTTTGGTTGGTCGAATTGTATTTCGAATCTTTGAGCGTATACTAATATATAAAAGACCTGGCTGCATATGAAGACGATTTTGAATCTTTGTCTTGAAATATCAACCTGTTAGGCGAGTTGTCCTGCTGATTCATTGAACAATTGTTTCACTGGTATACCAGTTGATTGAATCAATTCTCTCAATTGTTGAGTAAAGTTGAATATATTAAATCCTGTTTTAAATTGTTTTAGTGATAGTCGATTCACACCATATGGCATTAATATTTTTAGATATGACAAAATATACCTAACTCGGATGAGCTAACGCGTGTTTGTTGTACTTGTTCCTGTTCCTGTCGAGTAAACTGAAATTAACGAATTTCGACATCACGGTCGGTTGGTGGCTTGTTCAAAATCCGCCATTGTTAAACAATTTGGACGAGAACTGACATATGAGTAAACTATACATGAAATAGTCCTAAAACATATTCGTATTTGGGAATCTAGAAGTTAATTATTTTCTCTGAGAACAAGGCCACCAATGTATTATCTATCATTTGATATTACTTTTGTAGTTTAGCGCCTAAAATAGTGTTGCAGATTTCTTTGTGAAATTTGGGAATACATTCGTATATGAAAACATCAGATAAACTGGATTACTAAAAACTCTTTTGTCTTGCAATACCACCCAACATAAACATAAAGTCATGCATTCCCTGAAACAAGTTTCACAATCTGTGAACCATTTCAGCATCCACACGGATTGTCCATTGTTTGAGGTCTACCAAACCAGGTTTACGTTCCGTTAACCGTTTCACGATCTGCACCAATGCGCACGGATTATCCATGTTTAGGGATCAAACTTCATGCGTCCCCTGAACGGAAACGGGCCCGAGTTTCTATAATCGCTTGGGGAATAGGTATAGGTAATAATTACAGCTATGGACAATATAAGGTATTCTACTCAATTTTACTTTCATCGAAATTCATTGCTTTACGTTAATGAATACTTGAATAAACTTTATTTTGAAAAGGTAAATTTCTACATTGTTGGTATGTTTCTACATTGTTTAGCCTCGATCAACAAAGTGTTTTTCCACAGTATGCCACAGAGGGGAATAATAATCAAAGTAGAGTTGAATTAATGCTTTGTAAATTGTTTGCAGAGTTGCAGGTGGGACAAAGGGCTTTATACGTTTCATAGCCCCAATTCCAGCACTGACTTTAGAACATATCGAATCGATGTGTGTATCCCAAGTTAATTTTTCGTCAATGTCCATCCCTGAACATGTATATTTGCTGGTTCGAGGGACTGGGGTATTATTCATCATTATTGGCGTATTTCCAATTTTATCGATGAGGTTATAAGATGACGCAATAAACATGACTTTTGTTTTGGTGGGATGATGTTGACGCTTTTAAAAGCCACCTCTGAATATTATTTAGATCATCATTTAAATTTTGAGGTCATCATTAAAATCATAGGCCTTCATCATAGCCTTCCAGTTTATTTATAGTTCAATGGTCTGAGCCCGAAAGAGCCAAATGATATGTAAAAAGTAGCCAAATCCGGCCAAAAGAAGCCAAAATCGAAATTTAGAGTGGGGACTGGGGCTAACCTAATTATACGAATTATATACCCATAAAAACAATCGCTAATACATTTATATTTTACATAATGACTAAGAATTCCAACTCAAACTTTATTTAGTTATGATAACTAAGTTATCAAGGTAAATCATCAGCGAAAGGTTATCGAGAAACAGTATAACTACAATCTACAGAAACAGTAAAGAAAAAACGAGTAATTTTCGTTTTCCCGCCGTATAATTTTCGTTTTCCCGCCGTATAATTTTCGTTTTCCCGCCGTTCGGGGCCGACCACGTAAGCCCGGGGAGCCGGGTACTAATTCCGATAGGATATTTACCAATCTCGTTCCCCGAGCCTGCGATCCTCGGGAAGGAACGCGCGGCTCTGGGACAATCCGCTGCCGGAAGACAGGAATTCTGGCTAAGATTGAACTACGCTGTCTACGCATTCCATTTCAACGGCCAATCAGATTCCTCCCTGAAACGGATTATCCCAGAGCTTCGCGTTCCTTCCCGAGGATCGCAGGCTCGGGGAACGAGATTGGATATTTACGTACATCCGAAAATACGAAATCCCGGATAATATGATCGAACATAGCAGAGTTCGAGGCAGAGTTTATAACTAATTTTTACTGATGGATGGCAGACTATTTTTGAAAAGTTGCTTATTTCAGTATTTATTCAAAAAGAAGCCAAAAAGAGCCAAAAAAAATAGAAAGAAGCCAAACGAAATTTTTAGTAGCCAAACGAAATCAAAAGAAGCCAAAATCGAGAAATTTGGCTCTTTTAACGCCAAACTGGCAACCCTGTCCCTGCAACCGCGCGAAATTCCTTGCCTCAGAAGTCTGGAACCAACCAAAATGGCCTTATAAATCCGCCATTTTGTGGAGACACATTTTTTACTGAGAAACGATAGGAGAGCGCATTCTATATCTATTATTTCTATGGATTTTTCTTACGGGTAATGGTGAGGATTTTTCTTACGGGTAATGGTGAGGACCGTAATTGGAACGGCATTTAGCTTATAGTTTCCATTAAATTAATTTAACCGTTTTGCATTGTTAATTTTTTTCCATCTTCTCGAACTTAAATCTTGGAATAAACGTGCCATATTTCCATTCATTTTTAGCAGTCAATAGGAACGTCACTGTCCTAGGCAATAAGGTCACAGATTTAGGATATTTGAGCGAAATTTGCGTTTTCCGCGCCTTTTTGAAACTAATTGTAAGTTTATACGTCACATCTGGGCATGCGTTGACCGCTTCGTAGGTCTCAATCGCATTCTGCCAACGTCCTGCTCCGATATTATTTCTTCGAACGCGAGATATGATCGCTAAACATGGCTGATCTAAAATCTGTGTTCGCGGTTTCAGCTTGAAATTTTCCTGTGTGGTTGTTTTTAAGTATAACTCATTCCTCCATAGTGTGTTATTTCGTCGATCGGCATGACATGCGCATAGCTTAGGGTCGACACCTTTATCCGTGCATTTCTCGTATTTATTATACGGGCTAACACGAATCATGTCATTTAAAGTTATACCGTTCGCCTTGTCTTTCATCGCGAACGACACTTGGACGTCAAAAATTTCCTCGGTTTTTCTAATAAAAGGTTTAGCCAGTAAACTGAAAAACAACTTTTGCTCTAGACCGGCAACAGTGTGCCGCGCACGCATAATTCCCGTACCTGTATACCGCTGACATGCGCCGTAACCATAGAAACCTGACGCGAGCCCTTCTGGCTTCGACCTCAAAGCTGTGGTATACTGCTTTTGAATTCTGTTATTCAAAGTCCCCAAAGCAAATTCAGCCGCCCATTGGACTGTTTCAGAATCGTTGGACACAGACTTATCCATACCCTCACACAAACATAACACATCTGATCTTAATTTCATTTGTTCGCATGTTCGATCTAGGGGCACAGGTTTAAATAACCCACGCAGGCGAGTTGGCGTCACCCCTACATTAACGTCTCTGTGAGGATCTGCGTGAAGAACCCATTTTTTTTTATCTGAGCCTGGGTGCAAGTCCCAATTTTCTGGATGGTCCTCTTTGTGAGTAGCCCAAATATTTGGATCCATGTCTAATATTGACACTAGTGAATGATGCAGGTCTTCAAGTCCTACCAAACGATTCTGGTTCACCACCAACGCATTCATAGCTTCTGGACCAAGCGACTTGCTGACTTCGTGTGGAATGATTATGAATAATAAAGGTTGAAATACCTCTTGCCGACCTTGTGTTGTATAGGCTGCAAAATCGGTCGCTTTTGCTCCGTGGTCTGACGTAAATATGGTCACAGTGTTGCGCAAATGTGCTGCATGGTAGAACAAATCTGCTAGACTTTCATCGTCGTTGACTATTCGTCTGCCATTAGTCTCGTGTGAGGTTAGCAAATGTGTATAAGCTATAAATGGCTGTGCTGCAATATCGTTAAGCTCTGTGTACTTTTTCACATACTCCAAAAAGAAGGACCCATAATGTCGTCCTGCGAAACAAATATTTGGCACAGCTCTAGAACTAAAAGGATTCGTCACTTTATAATTTTTATAAACATCGCAGGTCAATATTGACATACCGTAGTCATCAACCTTTTGTCCACGTCCGGATTTTTTTACAATTTGAACAAAATCTTTCCATCTACTGAGCCGTGATTTTTCGTTTTTAACACGAGCTAATCCTTTGCGCGGATCAAGGAACGAACCCCAATCATCGTACCAACAATTATCCTCTTGAAGTAGGGTACTATATCCAGCCTTTTTATACCGACTGAACATTTCCTCAACGCCATATGTACAATATTTTGTATTATTTGCAAGAAATTCCTTAATCCTGTATCCACAGTGTGTCTTAGAGTTCCAGTACTTTTGAGATATAAACAATCTTTGAAGGTTACTATATGTACTCGACGCATAACTTTGGACTTTCTCAAATTCCAGTAAAGTTGATGGTATTGATTGGTTATAAATAATATCCCTAAAAGTCGATGAAGTTTTTAAAAGAGTTCTGTAAAAATGCGCACGCGATAAGGAATCTTCAAGTACAATATTGATATTAAAACGTCTTTTTCCCTGCTTTTGAACTGCTTCCATGCGATCCAAACGTTTTGGGAAGGTTAAAACTTGAATACCTTGTCCATCTTCACATTTCAATAGTGCAAAACCACGCCCAAATTCCGAAGACATTATACGATTTTCGAGAAGCACACTTAAACGATTTATGTCTCTAACTAACTGCCATTCAATTTTCCCAATTGTGTGACTAAACAGCCCAAGCGATATTCGTTTGTGTTTACAAGGGCTAGCATCACACGAAACTTGGATTTCCTCTTCTGATACAGTGCATATTTTAATGGCATTGTTTGTGTCGCACTGCCCAGCTTTCACGCTCCCGTATTCACCAAAATACTTAACCACGTCTGTGCAATCGCCTGGAGTAAGCTGTCTTCCTCGGCATTTTGGGACTTTTGATTTTTTAGACATGCTTCTTGCCAAAGGTTTTCTGAGACCTTGACGAGTGCACGCGGAGTATACTGGGAACTTTCTGTTCTTTGACGCATGCGTATCGTCTTGAAGCATCTCCTCGTAAGTTTCGAACGTTGGGAAAACTGCGCTCGTAGGGTCAACTGATTCGATAGGCTCAGTAGGAGTAATTGTGGACTCAATGGGTTCTTTTACGAGGAATTTTACAGGATTGGTTTCACTTTCTGCATTGGGTAGCTCCAAATCAATTGTTTGTCGAGTTTCTTTGTATAGTCGATTCGTTTGGAAACGGAAACCTAAAAAAGATAATTTTAAATGATAATAAGTTGATTTCAAACTTTTATTACACGATTAGCATTATCATTTCCATCATTATTCCTTATTGACATAGCACATCGTTTTTAAGCGTCTGTGTTTAAACGGACACAAATTTATTTTCCCAATCGTCAAAGCACACATTGGTTTCCGGTTCTAGGAACTTTGTATTGGTTTCAATTAAATTAACGATGACGTTATTACATCTCTGCACGAGGAGAACAGTTTAGTGTTTGAGCTATTCAACATAATTTAGCTTTAATTTAGTTCAGTCAACTTACCTACTCTATGTTTCATTATGAGGACAATGTCAAATATTCCATAGTTGAATAAAAATTGGTACATGGATAGCAAAGCAGTCAGAAGGAGGCACTAAAAACAGAATTTAATAATGATAATCATACTATAGGCATTGCAGAGAATGTAGCGGAAGTACGTAAGGCTGAGAGATGGTGGGGACACGTAATTGGACAAGAGGAAAACAGGGTGTCCACGGGCCTTGAAAATCCTGGAAAGTCCTTGAATTGGAAAACAATTCCAGGACTGGAAAGTCCTTGAAAATCAGTAGAAGTCCTTGAAAGTCCTGGAATTAATTTCCTTTATCTCCAGCTGTGCCAGCATTAGTGATTTTGATTAAAATTGCTGAATAAAGTGAATTATTTTCAAAGACTTTTCCCAGTTCTAGGTCCTTGGATTTACTGAAAAAGGGCCTTGAAAGTCCTGGAAAAGTCCTTGAATTTCACTTTCACCTAAGGGCGGACACCCTGTGAAGAAGAGACAGTCAGAAAAACTATGAAAGATAGAGATAGTAGAAGATGTGGGGTTACAAACATTGCAGTGAAGATGATGAAAGCAAGGCTGAGGTTGTATGGTCACTTATTAAGAAGAGATGAAGGAGAGGCCAGGCCAAGATATTATGAAATAAAGAGATCAGAAGAAGATGTAGAGTGGTAGAGATTTCAGAGAAAATGATGGAAGCAAGGTAGAGATGGTATGGACACGTAAGAAGAAAAGATTGAGACATTATAGAGCTGGAGATAAAGGGAACAAAGAACGAGCGAAACCGAAGACGAGATGAATGGACCGATGGTGGACATGACAAGGGGCTGAAATGAATGAAGGATAAGCATTGATTGATTGATTGATTGATTGATTGATTGATTGATTGATTGATTGATTGATTGATTGATTGATTGATAACTTTATTAAAGTGTCATGTCTTATAGCCAAAGATCAACTTTCACTAATCGGGGACACTTAAAATTATCCTAATTACAATAATATGAAGCGATTACGTCCAGCTAATTTATCTATTTACATATTCGTATCATGCATAATCTAATTATTTAAATATTATAGTGCTAAGTGCTACATATGGCACAATTCTTACAAGAATTGGTGTCAACTAAGTCGGCCAAATCTGCTTTCCTGATATTGTTCTTAAAGCTTTGAATAGAAGGTAGAGTTCTTAATTCTGGTAAAAGTTTGTCCCATAAATATGGACCGAAGTATCGTAAGGAATGTTTGCCATATTTGACCCCATTAAATCTAGGGCGACGAAAGTCAGAGTTCTTAAGATTATAAGTTGACTGAGTACTTTCAAATAAATCTAGAATATTATTTGGTAACAGTTTATGTTTAATTTTACACATGAAGATTGCTATATTTTGCAACCGAATATTATATAATGTGGTCATATTAGCCTTCGTTAAGAGCTCTGCGTAAGAGGAACCCCAGTCGCAAAAAACTGCTCTTAGCCCTCTTTCATTAGTTCGCTCCAGTTTATTCTTATCACTTCCCTTACAAAAATGCCAGACAAGACTACAGTAATTGAAGTAGGGCATAATAGCTGCTTTATATATAAGCATGCGAACATTTCTATTCCTGGTTTGAAAATAATGGCTGAGCTAGAAAAGAATATCTATTCAAACGATTCATTTTTGTATCGCATTTTATTGTAAAACGGTTTTAAAAAGTCGCCACTGGTTTGTTGTTGTAAATATTCATGTAAACAAAACGCTGACCCAAAACATCTAACATGCTCATAAATATGTGAGTTCGTTCAGACGCCAACTAATTTACTCACCATTTTAGCGAATTTCATTGTAGATCTTTGCTCTTTTGGTTAATGGAAATGTATTTGAAATACTTTGAACGTACTGATATATAAAATACCTATATATATATATATGAAGGCCCGTTTTTGTCTTTGTCCTAAAATCACAACCTGTCAATTAAGCGAGTTGTCATGCTGATTTGTTCAACAATTGTTTTTTCTGGTATACCAGTCTATTCAGCTGATTGTCCCAATTATCGAACTAAGTTAGTGAAATATCTTAAATCCTGCTTTTACTTGTTTTAATAATGGTCGATTCACACCAAATGGCATTAATATTTTTAGATATGACAAAATAAACCTAACTCGGATGAGATAACGCATGTTTGTTGTGCCTGTTTCCCCCCGATGCACCAAATTAAGCGAATTTCGACACCAGGGATTTCGTCGACAAAAGTATTTCGTCCGCTATTTCGTCCGCTATCGCCGTCTTGTTCATTTACATTTATAACATTTATTGAGTATACTACTATATCACTAAACAATAAATATGGTACAACACATATGTTACGAAAACCAAACTGACAAAAAGACAAGGCAACGCACGGGACAAGTTGTCCCATTCAAGGTAGTTTGCATGGCAGGCGATCCCTAAAATTGGGCAAGCCTGAAAATTACTTTAAATATAACTAAAGATAGGACAAAGCCACCAATATATATACAGTATATATATATATATATATATATATATATATATATATATATATATATATATATATATATATATATATATATATATATATATATATATATTAAGATGAAAATGTTCTAGAGTGTGTATTATATAATTTCCATACCCAGCGCAAGCAGAAAGATGTTGTCTGCCGCGGCTGGGTCTCGAACCCGCGACCTATTACAGAGTAATATTTATATATATACAGGGTGTATCATAAAAAACGGAGTCCTCGCTTCAAATATAAATTTCGAAACGAATATTAAAGCAAAACGTTCAGGTTTACATTCATTTTAAAGCTTAGACATTCTGCTTTTCAACGGTGGGTTGTTTCGTAAATATAATCCAGAAGTTCGTGAATAATAATATTTTAAGTGATTGCGATTGGAGAGTCAAAAATTTGAGATGCAATATAACAAACCGGTACTTGATGAAAATAACTTATTTTGTCAACAAAACGAGCAAATTGAGGCATTTTGGCAATTGATTGTAAAATTCAAGTAATAATGGCTTCCAATACACTATTTTAAATTCACTTGCTGACTTCAAATGCGTTATAATACCGGCTGAAGCGTGTTTTAGCTTGCCGTCAACTTGCTAATTTATGTCAGGTTTACATTAATTACGGCCCGATTCGATGGTGCTCGTTCGGACGATGCATATGGACGTAAGGTTGTTTTGATGATTTCTGGAAATAATTTAGAATTTTGAAATAAATAAAACAACCTAATCTCTTTTAGAATGTTTTTAACAAGTTCTTACTAGTTTTTCCGATGTGGCAACAAGAACATTGAAGTTTGAACAAGAAAATTCAAACATTGCAACCGACTATGGAATAACACAGTAAATTTGTATAATTAAGTGGCATCTAAACATGATAGGTTTTACTAAATTTTCTCCTGTGCAGTTATTACTTGCACTAAAGACACGGATGACCATTTGTTTGAAAGATAAATGAACAGGCTTTAAAATAAGCCTAAAACCGTTTTATTAGAAGTAGAATCGGGCCGTAATTAATGTAAACCTGACATAAATTAGCAAGTTGACGGCAAGCTAAAACACGCTTCAGCCGGTATTATAACGCATTTGAAGTCAGCAAGTGAATTTAAAATAGTGTATTGGAAGCCATTATTACTTGAATTTTACAATCAATTGCCAAAATGCCTCAATTTGCTCGTTTTGTTGACAAAATAAGTTATTTTCATCAAGTACCGGTTTGTTATATTGCATCTCAAATTTTTGACTCTCCAATCGCAATCACTTAAAATATTATTATTCACGAACTTCTGGATTATATTTACGAAACAACCCACCGTTGAAAAGCAGAATGTCTAAGCTTTAAAATGAATGTAAACCTGAACGTTTTGCTTTAATATTCGTTTCGAAATTTATATTTGAAGCGAGGACTCCGTTTTTTATGATACACCCTGTATATATATAAATATTACTCTGTAATAGGTCGCGGGTTCGAGACCCAGCCGCGGCAGACAACATCTTTCTGCTTGCGCTGGGTATGGAAATTATATAATACACACTCTAGAACATTTTCATCTTAATATATATATATATATATATATATATATATATATATATATATATATATATATATATATATATATATATATATATATATATATATATATATATATATATATATATATATCACAGAATAACACCTTCGGACCCGATTCAACTCCCCGAAATTTACTAATTTACAATGCCCATAAGACACAAACGCACATTTTGAAGTATGGCTCAATCGAGTACGACCATCGCTCGCAAACGACACATATAATTATTGATGTTTACGTCGATGTAACTAAATACTGATTTGATAGGTTAACGGCAGGAGATCTAATGCTATATTAACCGCTCTTTGTAAGACACTTCGCCTTGGGTCGTTGTTATCCACTTTATTGCTCTTCTTTGTACATTTTCTACCGCCGTGAGAGCAGGATAGAATTGACTGGTGAGCACACATCCGTAGCATAACATAACTGAGACTTGACTATTGACAGGTAAAGAGTTCTTCTGGCTTTCATGTACATTAATAAACAATTCTCGTTATACACTAATTTTAAAACTAGGCAAGGAGATGCAAATATAGTCACAACAACTAGAAAGAGCATACTAAAATGAGTAAAGTTGCAAAGTTTGCTTGCGAAATGTTGTAAGATGCGGAAGATATATCCTTCAGGGTTCGTAGCGATCTTTGAAATCCTTTAAAGTCTTTAAATTGGAATGCAGGTCTTTAAGGTCTTTGAAAAGTCTTTAAATTGTGTGAAAAAGCGAAGAAAGTCTTTAAAAGTCTTTAAATTCTTTAGTGAGGAATTGATTATACGATTTCCTAGCTAATAAAATAGATTGATTGAATCAAGATTTTCGCAAATATCGACGAAAATGCACATTTTAGGATGTGATTTGACGGGACTAATTACCGGGTAAAAATGGTGCTGACACTCGCAATTTTTCGACAGCTGATTGCTCTCAAAGGTCTTTGAAAAGTCTTTCAAATTGGGCAGAAAAAATCTTTGAAAGTCTTTGAATTTTTTTGGTCTTGGAAACTACGAACCCTGTCCTTGCAAAGTTTGCAAATTTTGTGTACTTTTGTATTGCGTGCGGAAGTTTCTATCATTTTTGGCCCAAATGTAGTAGCAATTTCCGCACGCAATACAAAAGTAATCATGTGTAATCATGGATGATAGGATTTTTCTAAATTCTTATTAACTGAGCGAGAGGTCTTTATAGAGAAATATCGGACAGAGGTCTTTTTTGTACAGAAGACCGAGGTCCGATATTTCTCTGTAAAGACCGAGCAAGCGAGGTTAATAAAAAGTTTATTATATGGCATTTATACTCGAAACAAACAAAAAATGCATGATTTGGAATACGTATTAGTAGCGTGGTACACATTTGGTCGAGGAAAATAAAAATTACCAATGTATTCCTTTCTTTTCACTTAAAACCATTCGCAGACATCTTATTAATAACAAATGAAATTAATTTTCAAATTTTCAATTAGTTTTGCTGTTTTGTTTTAAAATACATGCGTTTGTTTTCCATCACGGGAAAATAATGGACCGCTGAAAGTGCTTCTCAGTCCGCCATTTCACCGGAAGTGATGCTTGCCGTATAATAATTACGGGTAATGGTAAGGACTTTGCATTTGGAAGCGTTGAAGCGGAGGTTGTTTTCCATTGCCCAATGGTTAAGGTTGTCGGATAACGATTGTTGTTGTTGTGGAGACACACAGTCACGGGTAGAGGTAATGTTTTTATGAAGTTTAGGCTATGTTTACATTGTATCGGATCAGTTTTTGTTTCGTTCGCGAAAAGTTACGGCCCAAGTGTAAACAGCTTCCGCCCCGCCCATCTATGCCGTCGTATTTTCTTCTATATATTATTAGAATAGTAAGTTGTTTGCCAGATTCCATCTTGATCGAGTCACGCATTGAACCGAAATTGCTCCGATTGGTGTTTACATTACAATGAGAGCGTTGCAAAAACCGATCCGATACACCGCGCACCACTTCGAAGAGCGAACCGCCGTACCACCACGTTGCAGAAATTGAGACGATAACAACATTTCATATGTAAACAGAAGCCCTATCCGGTATGGTTTTTGCATCGGACGCAAAGTGATCCGGTACAATGTAAACATAGCCTTAGTGTCATCTGTATATAGGGCTGTATCAGTTCGGGTTTCTACGAAGTCTGGTAGATTGTGGAAAAATTTTACGAACAGCATGGGTCCTAGAATACTTCCTTGAGGAACACCAGAAGTGACCGGTGTGGTGTAATACCATACTCAGCGACCGTAATTGGAACGACATTTAACTTATAGTTTCGGTTAAGTTAACCGTTTTGCATTGCTAATTTTTCTCCATCTTCTCTTCTCGAACTTAAATCTTGGAATAAACGTGCCATATTTCCACTCATTTTTAGCAGTCAATAGGAACGTCACTGTCCTAGGCAGTAGGGTCACAGATTTAGGATATTTGAGCGAAATTTGCGTCTTCCGCGCCTTTTTGAAACTAATTGTAAGTTTATACGTCACATCTGGGCATGCGTTGACCGCTTCGTAGGTTTGAATCGCATTCTGCCAACGTCCTGCTCCGATATTTTTTCTTCGAACGCGAGATATGATCGCTAAACATGGCTGATCTAAAATCTGTGTTCGCGGTTTCAGCTTGAAATTCTCCTGTGAGGCTGTTTTTAAGTATAACTCATTCCTCCATAGTGTATTATTTCGTTTATCGGCACGACATGCGCATAGCTTAGGGTCGACTCCTTTATCCGTGCATTTCTCGTATTTATTAAACGAGCTAACACGAATCATGTCATTTAAAGTTATACCGTTCGCCTTTTGTTTTATGGCGAACGATACTTCGACGTCAAAAATTTCCTCAGTTTTTCGATCAAAAGGTTTAGCCAGTAAACTGAAAAACAACTTTTGCTCTGAGCCGGCAACAGTGTGCCGCGCACGCATAAATGCCGTACCTGTATATCGCTGACATGCGCCGTAACCATGGAAACCTGACGCGAGCACTCCTGACTTCGACCTCAAAGCTGTGGTATACTGCTCTTGAATTCTGTTATTCAAAGTTCCCAAAGCAAATTCAGCCGCCCATTGGACTATTTGAGAATCGTTAGGCACAGACTTATCCATGCCGTCACACAAACATAACACATCTGAATTTAATTTCATTTGTTCGCATGTTCGACCTACGGGCACTGGTTTAAATAACCCACGCAGACGAGTTGGTATCACCCCTACATTAGGGTGTCTGTGATGCCCATTAGGATCTGCGTGAAGAACCCAATTTTTTGGATCTGAGCCTGGATGCAAGTCCCAATTTTCTGGATGGTCCTCTTTGTGAGTACCCAAAATATTTGGGTCCGTGTCTAATATTGACACTAGTGAATGATGCAGGTCTTCAAGTCCTACCAAACGATTCTGGTTCAGCACCAACGCATTCATAGCTTCTGGACCAAGCGACTTGCTGACTTCGTGTGGAATGATTATAAATAATAAAGGTTGAAATACCTCTTGCCGACCTTGTGTTGTATAGGCTGCAAAATTGGTCGCTTTTGCTCCGTGATCTGACGTAAATATGGTCACAGTGTTGCGCAAATGTGCTGCATGGTGGAACAAATCAGCTAGACTTTCATCGTCGTTGACTATGCGTCTTCCATTAGTATCATGTGAGGTTAACAAATGTGTATAAGCTAAAAATGGCTGTGGTGCCATATCGTTAAGCTCTGTGTACTTTCTCACATACTCCAAAAAGAGGGACGCATAATGTCGTCCTGCGAAACAAATATTTGGGACAGTTGTAGAACTATACGGATTCGTCACTTTATAATTTTTATAAACATCGCACGACAGTATTGACATACCGTAATCATCAACCTCTTCCCAGCTTCCTGATTGTTCTAAAATTGTGACATAATCTTTCCATCTACTCAGCCGTGTTTTTTCGTTTTTAACACGACCTAATCTTTTGCGCGGATCAAGCAACGAACCCCAATCATCGTACCAACAATTATCCTCTTGAAGTAGGGTACTATATCCAGCCTTTTTATACCGACTGAACATTTCCTCAATCCCAAATGTACAACTATATTTTGTATCATTCGCAAGAAATTCCTTAACCCCGTTTTCACATTTTGTCTTAGAGTTCCAGTACTTTTGAGCTGTAAACAGTCTCTGAAGGATTCTGTATGTAGTAGATGCATAGCTTTGGACTTTTTCATATTCCAGCAAAGTTGATGGTATTGACTGGTTATAAATAATATCCTTAAAAGTCGACACAGTTTTTAGAAGAGTTCTGTAAAAATGCGCACGCGATAAGGAATCTTCAAGTACAATATTGATATTAAAATGTCTTCTTTTTTCGTGCTTTTGAACTGCTTCCATGCGATCCAAAATTTTTGGGAAGGTTAAAACTTGAATACCTTGTCCATCTTCACATTTTAATAATGCAAAATCAGGCGCAAATTCCGAAGAAATTATATGATTTTTGAGAAGTGTGCTTAAGCGATTTAAGTTTCTAACTAACTGCCATTCAATTTTCCTAGTTGTGTGACTAAACAGCCCAAGGGATATTCGTTTGTCTTTACAAGGGCTAGCATCACACGAAACTTGGATTTCCTCTCTCTTATAATTTTTGTCTTCTGATACAGTGCATATTTTAATGGTATTGTTAGTATCGCACTGCCCAGCTTTCATGCTCCCGTATTCACCAAAATACTCAATCACGTCTGCCAAATCGCTGGGAGTAAGCAGCCTTCGTTGGCATTTTGGGTTTTGTGATTTTTTGGACACGTTTGTTGCGAAAGGTTTTCTGAGACCTTGGTAAGGGCTCGTGGAGTACTCTGGGAACTTTCTGTTGTTTGACGCATGCGTATCGTCCTCAAGCATCTCGTCGTAAGTGCCGTACGTTGGGAAAACTGCGTGCCTAGCGTCAACTGATTCCATAGGTTGAGTAGGGGTAATTGTCCACTCAGAGTGTTCTTTAACGAGATGTTTAACATGACTTGTTTTGTTTTCTGCATTATGTTGCTCCGAATGAATTGTTGGCTGAGTTTCTTCGTCAAATCGATTCCTTCGGAAACGGAAACCTTTAAAAGGTAATTTTAAATGATAATAATTTAAATCAGTATGCCTTGATGACGTTACACTCCCTTCTAAACCTGTATGTTTTAAACGGACAAAAATCTCTGGTCCCAGTCCCAAGAACACACTCCGGTTTCCTGTTGTAGGAACTTGGGACTGGAGTTAGGGATGACCTTACTGGATCTCTGCATGGGATGAACGGTTTAGAGTTGACAGAGCTGTACTCAACATCAATAAAGTTTAATTTGAGTTCGGTTTACTTACCTACTCTTTGTTTCATTATTGACACAATGTCCAACATTTCGTAGTTGAATATAAATACGTACGCGGATAGCAAAGCAGTTACGACCATGCACTGAAAATAGAATTTAATCATTATGACACTATGGACAAGATATGTGGTCGTAGGCATTGCAGAGAATGTGGAGAAAAAAAGGCTGGGATGGTGTGGACACGTAATCAGGCAAGATGAAGAAATGCCTGTCAGAGACGTCATGGAATAAAGAGCCTGAGGGTTCAGCAGAAGATATGGGATGGTTGACACTGTAGAAAAGCCTTCTGAAGCAATTTTGAATAGAACCTAAAGCAACGATTCATTATTGTACCACATTTTATTCTAAGACGGTTTTAGAAAGTCTCGCTGGTTTGTTATTGAAATATACGTATAAACAAAACCCCTAGCCCAAAACATCGAATATGCTCATAAATATGTCAGTTCATTCAGACGCTAACCAAATTACTCACCAATTTCACGAATTTCATTTTACGTCTCTGTTCTTTGGGTCCAATTGTATTTGAAATACTTTTAATGCACCGATGAACGAAAGGCCTATATATATATAGACGTGCTTTCTTCACCTTTGTCTCAAAATTACAACCTGTTAGCCGTTTTGAAAGAACTGTTATCAAAACCAAGAAACAGAGTTGATAGACATCTTATCAAGACTAAAATCAAAAAAGTAAGGCGGGTCCCTTTTGCTGTTACGGAACACTCTGATTTATTTTGAATTTTAGCTTGATCAATTATGCATAAAACGAAATGTTATGTTAAATTTAGCAATAGAAGATGTTTGCTTGAGTTCAGGTGAAATGTTCACCTAAGCAAATATTATTCTAAACGTGAGAAGAGATAATGGATTTTTTTCCACAAATCAAAGTAAAGTAAATACATTTTGGTCCTTGGTAAAACATTTATTATTTCTTCCATTGGTTCACTTAAAAGTGTGAAGTATTAAGAGGCAATTTTTTTCAATGTCCCGTATTTGCGATGAAAAGTGTTCAAAATGTAAAAACCTAAATGACTTTGTTTTACTGAGCTTTATTTTATAATTTACACAGTTAGCAACCTTTTTACATGTATCTGGCGGTTGAGAAACACAGAATAATAGTTAAATATTGTCAAATTAAATAGAATTTTCAATGATGCTGTAACGATCAACGGTCTCTTTATTTTAGCATAACTTTACAGATAAACTCTAAACATACTTTTAAAGTTTATTTGCCGCTTGGGAAACGTACCAACTGGAAAACTATGTTCATTAGTTTTGACATGAGCGCGTGTTAGGTAACATACAAAAGATTGTAGCTCCTCTTAATGGATGTGGTAGCTGAAGATGAATAGAAATTGACTCGTAATGTACAGTTTTTTCAAATAGATTGTGTATAGTGTATTCATCCACACTTTTTGCGAAATTACATTAGTTCTGACACTTCTGGCCTTACTACTAGTAATGGATGGGCCTTACTACCAGCAATGGATGGGCCTTACTACCAGTAACGGATGGACCTTACTACAAGTAACGGATTGGCCTTACTACTAGTAACGGATGGGCCTTACTACCAGCAATGGATGGGCCTTACTACTAGTAACGGATGGGCCTTACTACTAGTAACGGATGGGCCTTACTACTAGTAACGGATGGGCCTTACTACTAGTAACGGATGGGCCTTACTACTAGTTACGGATGGGCCTTACTACTAGTTACGGATTGGCCTTACTACTAGTAACGGATGGGTGGGCATTTAAAAGCTGATAAAGCTATCCAGTATAAATAAAGTTAGTTTACTTTAGTTCATGCCTGCAAACGAAACATCAATTTAGTAACGATCATATTAAGCTAACTTTAGACATGTATCGAGTTAGGTGGATCCAGTCAAACTCCGAGATCATGAATCGGACATTAGGACCACTCAACTCTTTATACACTTAGCTACAGAGTCCCATTAAAGTTCTATTGTCTGGTTAGAGCATGCTAGTTTTCAGCATACGTGAGAATAGTTAAGGGTGCCTTTTGAGTTTTCTCCTGTAGTCTGTACCTCTTGTACCTCTGAAAACATTATCCAGTATGGACGTTTGTTTAACTAGGTTTGTAAAGTTGGCTGTTTTGTATTGCGTTATTAGCGACTGTAATTTAGCTTAGTGTCCGTTAAGTTAACCGTTTTGCATTGCATTATTTTCTCCATCTTCTCTTCTCAAACTTAAATCTTGGAATAAACGTGCCAGATTTCCACTCAATTTTAGCCGTCAATAGGAACGTCACTGTCCTAGGCAGTAGAGTCACAGATTTAGGATATTTGAGCGAAATTTGCGTCTTTCGCGCCTTTTTGAAACTAATTGTGAGTTTATACGTCACATCTGGACATGCGTTGACCGCTTCGTAGGTGTCAACCCCTTCGTAGGTGTCAACCCTATGCAGCCAACGTCCTGCTGCCATATTATTTCTTCGAACGCGAGATATGATCGCTAAACATGGCTGGTCTAAAATCTGCGTTCGCGGTTTCAGCTTGAAATTCTCCTGTGAGGCTGTTTTTAAGTATAACTCATTCTTCCATAGTGTGTTGTTTCGTTGGTCAGCATGACATGCGCAGAGCTTAGGATCAACACCTTTATCCGTGCATTTCTCGTATTTATTAAACGGGCTAACACGAACCAGGTCATTTAAAGTTATACCATTCGTATATTGTGTCATAGCGAACGACACTTGCACGTCAAAAATTTCCTCAATTTTTCGATCTAAAGGTTTAGCCAGTAAAGTGAACAACAACTTTTGCTCTAGCCCGGTAACAATGTGCCGCGCACGCATAATTCCCGTTCCTGTATACCGCTGACATGCGCCGTAACCATAGAAACCTGACGCGAGCACTCCTGACTTCGACCTCAAAGCTGTGGTATACTGCTCTTGAATTCTGTTATTCAAAGTCCCCAAAGCAAATTCAGCTGCCCATTGGACTGTTTCATAATCGTTGGGTAGAAAGGTATCCATACCGTCACACAAACATAACACATTTAAATCTAATTTCATTTGTTCGCATGTTCGATCTAAGGGCACTGATTTAAATAACCCACGCAGACGAGTTGGTATTGCCCTTACATTAGATTCTCTGTGAGGCCCATTGGGATCTGCGTGAAGAACCCAATTTTTTGGATGGTCCTCTGTGTAAGTACCAAAAATATTTGGATCGGTGTCTAATACTGATACCAGTGAATCATGCAGGTCTTCAAGTCCCACCAAACGATTCTGATTCACCACCAAAGCATTCATAACTTCTGGACCAAGGAACTTGCTGACGTCGTGTGGAATGATTATGAATAATAAAGGTTGAAATACCTCTTGCCGACCTTGTGTTGTATAGGCTGAAAAATCGCTCGCTTTTGCTCCGTGGTCTGACGTAAATATGGTCACAGTGTTGCGCAAATGTGCTGCATGGTGGAACAAATCTGCTAGACTTTCATCGTCGTTGACTATGCGTCTTCCATTAGTATCGTGTGAGGTTAACAAATGTGTATAAGCTAAAAATGGCTGTGCTGCCATATCGTTAAGCTCTGTGTACTTTTTCACATACTCCAAAATAAAGGACCCATAATGTCGTCCTGCGAAGCACACGTTTGGTACAACTTTAGAACTAAACGAATTTGTCACTTTATACTTTTTATAAACATCGCAGGTCAATATTGACATACCGTAGTCATCAATCACTTCTCCACGTCCGGATTTTTTTACATTTTGAACAAAATCTTGCCATCGACTGAGCCGTGTTTTTTCATCTTGAACTTTTTCTAATGCTTTGCGCGGATCAAGGAACGAACCCCAATAATCCAACCAACAATGGTCTTCTTGAAGTAGGGTACTATATCCAGCCTTTTTATACCGACCGAACATTTTCTCAATCCCAAATGTACAAGTATATTTTGTATCATTCGCAAGAAATTCCTTATTGGCACGAAATTCCTTAATCATGTCGTATTCACAACTTGGTATGGAGTTGGAATACTTTTGAGCTGTAAACAGTCTCTGTAGGCTAAAATATGTATTGGATGCAAGACTTTGCATTTTCTCGAATTCGAGTAAAGTTGATGGTATTGATTGGTTATAAATAATATCCCTAAACGTCGACGCAGTTTTTAGAAGAGTTCTGTAAAAATGCTCACGCGATAAGGAATCTTCAAGTACAATATTGATATTAAAACGTCTTCTTTTCTCGTGCTTCTGTACTGCTTCCACGCGATCCAACATTTTTGGGAAGGTTAAAACTTGAATACCTTGTCCACCTTCACATTTTAATAATGCAAAACCAGGTGCAAATACTGAGGACATTATATGATTTTTGAGAAGCGCACTTAAACTATTTATGTCTCTAACTAACCGCCATTCAATTTTCCCAGTTGTGTAACTGAACAGTCCAAGCGATATTCGTTTGTCTTTACAAGGGCTAGCATCACACGAAACTTTGATTTCCTCTCTTTTATAATTTTTGTCTTCTGATACAGTGCATATTTTAATGGCATTGCTTGTATCGCACTGCCCACCTTTCATGCTCCCGTATTCACCAAAATACTTAACCATGTCTGTGCAATCGCTGGAAGTAAGCTGTCTTCGTCTGCATTTTGGGACTTTTGATTTTTTAGACATGCTTGTTGCCAAAGGTTTTCTCAGACTTTGACGAGTGCACGTGGAGTATACTGGGAACTTTCTGTTCTTTGACGCATGCGTATCGTCTTGAAGCATTTCCTCGTAAGTGGCGAACGTTGGGAAAACTGCGCGCGTATGGTGAACTGATTCGATAGGTTCAGTAGGAGTAATTATGGACTCAATGGGTTCTTTTACGGGGAATTTTATAGGATTTGTTTCACTTTCTGCATTGGGTAGCTCCAAATCAATTGTTTGTCGAGTTTCTTTGTATAATCGATGCGTATGGAAACGGAAACCTGGAAAAGATAATTTTAAATGATAATAAGTTGATTTCAAACTATTATTACACAATTAGCATTATCATTTCCATCATTATTCCTTATTGACATAATACATCCCTTTTAAACGTCTGTGTTTAAACGGACACAAATCTCTTTTCCGAATCACCAAACACCACACTGGTTTCCTGTTGTTGGAACTTTGTATTGGATTTACGGATGACGTTATTGCATCTCTGCACCATAGATATCTTATATACACTAGATAGTGCATCTAATTATTCTGCAATTCAAAAATTGAAGCCGTGATTGCAGACTCAGGATATTCCCATGGAATGAGAAGACTCGTATGTTTCAAGGAACTTAAACATTAAGTTAAACCTATTCCAAAACATTTTCAAATTATTCAAATGATGAAAGTAATTGTTGTTTTTTAAGCGTTTATTAGCGAGTGGGAAACTCCAACATGGCCTTCTATTCAAATGGGGGTAACCGCTGGAATATTCTTGGCTTCAATTGTACTAAAAGAGATGCGCTATCTAGTGTATATAAGATATCTATGCTCTGAACGAGGAGAACAGTTTAGTGTTGATTAAACGTAATTTAGCTTTAACTGTAGTTCAGTCAACTTACCTACTCTATGTTTCATTATGAGAACAATGTCGAATATTCCATAGTTGAATAAAAATACGTACATGGATAGCAAAGCAGTCAGAAGGAGGCACTAAAAATAGAATTTTATAATGACACTATGGACACGATGTGTGGTCGCAGGCAGTGCAGAGAAGGTGGGGTAAGCAAGGTTGCGATGGTAGGGACACGTGATGAGGAAGAGACGGTCAGAGAAACTTTGAAATAAAGAGATCAGTAGAAGATTTGGTGTTAAAATCATTGCAGTGAAGATGATAAAAGCAAGACTGAGGTTGTATGGTCAATAAGAAGAGAAGGAGAGCCAGGCCAACATATTATGACATGAAAAGATCAGAAGAAGATGTGGGGTGGCAGACATTGCAGAGGAGGTGAGGAAAGCAAGGTTGAGATGGTATGGACACGTAATAAGAAGAGATGAAGCAGAGCCGATCAGAGACATTATGCAATGAAGAGATCAGAAGATGTCGAGTTGTAGACAATCCAGAGAATGTGAGGAAAGCATGGTTGAGATGGTATGGACATGTAATAAGAAGAGAAGAGGGAAAGCTGGTCAGATATATTATCGAACGAAGAGATCGGAAGAAGATGTGGGATGGTAGACATTGCAGAGACGGTGAGGAAAGCAAGGTTGAAATGGTATGGACACGCAATAACAAGAGATGTAGGAGAGCCGATCAGAGACATTATGGAATGAAGAGATCAGAAGATGTAGAGTGGTAGAGATTGCAGAGGAGGTGAGGCAAGCAAGGTTGAAATAACAAGAGATGAAGGAGAGCCGATCAGAGACATTTGAAATAAAGAGATCAGAAGAAGATGTAGAGTGGTAGAGATTGCAGAGGAGGTGAGGCAAGCAAGGTTGAGATGGTATGGACACGTAATAACAAGAGATGAAGGAGAGCCGATCAAAGACATGGAATGAAGAGATCAGAAGATGTGGGATGGTAGACATTGCAGAGACGGTGAGGAAAGCAAGGTTGAGATGGTATGGACACGTAATAACAAGAGATGAAGAAGAGCCGATCAGAGACATTATGGAATGAAGAGATCAGAAGATGTGGGGTGGTAGACATTGCAGAGAAAATGAAGGAAGCACGACTCACATGGTATGGACACGTAATAAGAAAAGACGGAGACATTATAGAGCTGGAGATAAAGGGGAACAAAGGACGAGAGAAACCGAAGAAGAGATGAATGAACAGTATAAAAAGTTGAATATCTAAATAGCAGCGAACCGATGGTGGACATGAGAAGGGGCAGAAATGGATAACAAGCATCCGAGCACTCCCACCCCTGGTCGGACCTGGTTTATTCAAAGCCATTATAGAATGGCAGGGCAAGAAAAGAATATCTATTCAAACGATTCATTTTTGTACCGCATTTTATTGTAAAACGGTTTTAAACGGTCTACACAAGTTTCTTGTTGAAAATATTCATGTAAACAAAACCCTGACCCAAAACATCGAACATGCTCATAAATATGTGAGTTCGTTCAGACGCTAACTAATTTACTCACCATTTTAGCGCATTTCATTGTAGATCTTTGCTCTTTTGGTTAATGGAAATGTATTTGAAATACATTGAACGTATTGATATATAAAATACCTATATATGAAGGCCCGTTATCGTCTTTGTCCTAACATCACAACCTGTTAAGCGAGTTGTCATGGTGATTTGTTGAACAATTGTTTTTCTGGTATACCAGTCTATTCAGCTGATTGTCCAAATTATTGAATTGACTTAATGAAATATATTTAAATTATGCTTTTGCTTGTTTTAGCAATAGTCGATTCACACTACATGGCATTAGTAGAGAGTTTTAGTTCGACTTCCGATACCAATACCGATGTCTTCACTTCCGTTCTCATTTAGTACCGGAATTTTAAAGCATTAAGTTATCACGACGGATAAAGTGGATAAAGTATATAGAACACATTAATTGTCACCGAAAATGCTTGGTATACAAAACGGCAGCTGAGCTAAAATTCCGAATAAAACATGAGTACATGACTCAGGCGATGCTAATAAACAAAAACGCTACGTGTTTTAATCAAAAACTTTTTTGAAGATAGTTTTGAAACAAATTATAGCGGTATTATATTTATTAAACGACGTTTCGATGCTACAGCGTGCATCATTTTCAAGTTATAGCATAGATTAAGTAAGAAGTATTAAGTATATACTTCATCTGTGGTTATAGTAATTACATATATTGCGTTGATTTTAATTAAACCGTTCGTGTCACGTTAGCAAATTATTGCGTAAGCATGCAAAATTTAAATTTATATGACGTAATAAATTACATAAATTACATTTAAAAGAAAACATAAA